AGCCAGCCTCCCCTGGGATGGGGTGGAGGGATTCAAACAGTAAAGAAACAGGAGGTCTGAAGTGTGGGGAGAGAGGCTGGAAGTAAGGAGAAGAGAAACAGTCGGTGGTCTGCGCCTGAGTAATCAAACTCCATGGCTCTTCACAGAATGTGAGAAAATGGTAGATCAGCAGGCTCAACAGGTCACCCACCTAGGGCTGCGGCTGTAGGTCAGTGGTGGAGCGCTCGCCTAGCATGTGTGAGGCACTGGGTTCCATCCTCAGCACCACATAAATATATAATAAAGTTAAAAAAAATTTAAACAAAAAAGTGGGGGAAAGTTCACCCACCAGACACCTACACAGACCTAAGGGAAAGGTGAGTGATTCCAACCAATTTGAGCTCCCTTTCAGTTTCTGAAAGAGCTCAGGCAACTGGGACCATCTTGAACAAAACGTCAGAGGTATTGGCTACGGCAACGTTGATGGGAGCCCATTGCTTGGTGAGGCAGCCACTGAAATTGGGGATGAAAGCAAATAACTAAGCAAATCCAGCTAGAGGGTTTATTAGGGTTCCCTGAGTTTCAGGGAAGTAAATGGGCAAAGGGAAGCAAAAGAAAGCCAGCACACCCCTGTGCCCAGTGTAGACCAGGGCTCAGAAGGGGACACTGCACTCTGAGATGGCCCCTGGGAAGCAGGCTTGTCCAGGCATGTCCGGAACCTCCCCTGGGTTCCTGCTGGAGCTGGGCGTTCCAGGACGCAGACCCACCCACCTTCCGTGGGACTAGTGGCTTCTAATTGCAGCAGGAGGACCTGACCCTTCTTGGGTAGCTTGGGTCACTAAATGCCAGGAAGCTGAAGTGGCTGCAATCACGTCGCTCACTCACTGGTGCCCAGGAGTCTGGACATCCTCCTGAAGTGATCGATTTGATGGGGGCAGGGAAGCCCAGGTGTTTTGTCAAGCATGATTTCTGCGAGTGTCTCGAAGGGTGTGCGGGGTGAAGCCGACTGCCTTCCCACCAGATGGGAGCAGCCCACCCGTTGAGGGCCAGAGTAGGTCAGAAAGGAGAGGAAGGTTGAGAGTGCCCCTGCGTACCTCCTGGGCTGGGGTGGTCATCTGCTGCCCTTGGTGTCTCAGGCCTTTGAGTTACACTCTGGCTTTCCTGGGTGTCCCTCTCATAGACAGACATGTGGCAGATCACCAGACTACTCGGCCTCCGTGGGAACCTGTCACCAGAGGAGGCCTCCGTGGGAACCTGTCACCAGGGGGACCTCAACTCAGGACGAGTGGGCTTCTTGACAAACAGCCCAGAAATGAGTTTAAGGAGGCATCAGTGAAGGCACAGAGACGTGTTCAGGAGAGCAGAGACCTTCGAGTGGGAGATGCTTTGGGGATTCTCAGGCTCTTAAAGGGAACTTGGTGGGAATGGGAAGGTGGGTGTAAATGACATCAGCCTGGTGATCACAGGACAGTTTATGGTGGCCTGGCCATCCTCAGGCTCCTCAACTGATGTGGGCTCCATGATCTGACCAGTGGGTGACTTTGGAAAGTATCCTAGGTTATAGGATTTTAAAATTAGCATGTGTCACTCTGCTTAATCCATTTATTATGTGGGCTGACAGTGCACAAGCCGGTTTTCACAAGTGAGCGAATTTCCTGTAACTCTAAGATTTACAGATTTCCCAGAAATTTGGGAGTGACCAGCCTGGGAAAGAGACTAACCTGGGGGGTGACAGGCCTGAAAGGTGTGTGAAACCTGAATCTAGATTATGTTTCCTCGTCCTTCCTTCTGTCCCCTTTATACCTACCTTCATATTCCTTCTCTCTTACCTCAAGCCAACACCTTATAATAAATCTCTTTCTAGAAATATATATATGTACATGTATGTGTATAAATATATACATATTTGTGGATATATATGTGCATATATATGTGTAGGGTAGGAGATATATGTGTGTACACACACACACACAACATTAGTTCTGTTTCTCTGAAGAAACCTGAATAATATCCCCCAATTGACCAGGACCTCCTCAGATTTGTCCTATGAGAATGGAAAGTACAGGGGGCAAGGTCTCTCTGCTGGAGTGCCAACCCTGTGCATGAAACAGGTCATCACAACTCTCAGTCACACGAAAGGATGGGAGACTACCTACGCTCTGTTCTTTGCTGCCCTTGTCTTGAAGGTCTGTACAGCAAAGCTTACTCTGTAACAAGACTGTTCTGTGTGCAGACATTGCCCTGAGCCTTGTGTGACGCCCACTGCGTTCCTGCTCGAAGTTGCTAGATAAGACCTAGCTCTGCCATCAGACCAATGTTTTCCTCTTATGGGAGATTAAGACATGCCACCCCAAACTAGACTTCTTTCCCATAATTTTGAGATGACTTTTCAGAGGGGCCACAGACAGAAGTAGCTCTGAGAAGCCGATCGTTCATGGGGAGGTTTGCATCTCTGAAGGAACTCTACACTAGGGAGGTAAATAGCTTGCAAACAAGCTTCCCCTGAGGCCCCTTATCTGCCCTCTCTGGATCCACCCAAAGACTATAGGATGCACATGCTCTTCTGAGGGTACAGCAAGTGCTGAATTGTCGTGGGCAGGGCACCAATGGCATCTGAGATTCCTGCCCTGCCTTGCTCCTTTTCCCCCTCCCAGACACACCCAGCCAGGTGTTGTTTGAGTTGTTTAATTCTTTCCCTCAGTTCTTTTGCAACTTTGTACAATGAATTTCCTTGTATGTGTGATTTGATATATACTTTTGGATATTCCTGCAGGATGCAGTCCTATAAATAAAATAGCTGGGATGGAGGTCTCTGCATTTTCGAATTTTAATGCATATTACCAAAGAGATTGGAAAAATCTTTGCTCTCACCAGAAGTATAAAAAATAGCTACCCAGGGCTGGGGTTGTGGCTCAGTGGTAGAGCACTCACCTAGCATGCACAAGGGTTCGATCCTCAGCACCACATAAAAATAAAATAAGGATATGTGTCCACATAAAAATAAAATAAGGATATGTGTCCACCTAAAACTAATAAATAAATAATAAATACATAGCTAACTACCACATCTCACCCCCCCCTGCAAATTGTCAATTTTTCATCTTCACAAGTCTAACTGGCAGGTAAGACATTTTGATCATCCATGGCCTGGGCCCCTGGGTAGAGGGGATTGCTGCAGGTGCAGGGGATGAAGAGAGGAGATCCACACCTGTGTGCCGCTGCTCCCTAAGAGAATGAAGAAGCCAGATGTAAAAATAACTAAGTTTAATTAAAAACAATCCTGACGTAAAGAGAAACTTCCATTCATGACTGAAAGGCCACACAGCGTCCAGGGATGATGATGATCCACAGCTAGAATATTCTGAAGTCACAGAACTCAGAGGATAAAGATGGAGTCATCCTGGCCGCCCGTCAGAATGAGCAACCGCGTACAAGCAAAATCGGTGGCCTCTGGATTCCGCTCCCTGGTGTCGCACTGGGAGACAGTGCAGGGAGATCTGCAGGTGCCAAAGGCAAAAGACACCGTGGCATGGACTCTACCCGGGGCGGCTGCTTTTGAAACATCCCAGCAACAATTTACAGATGAGAGAACTGATGGAATACAGCTCCCATGGCCCGTCAAAGGTAGAAAGACTACATCATGATAAACGTTTGCCAAGAAAACGATACATTAGGGATGAAAAAAGAGAGAGTGGTGACCAATGAATGCACGCATGGTGGGTGGGGCTGGGGGAGGGGTCCTGGGGATAGAACCCAACAGTGCTTTACCACCAAGCTACACCCCCAGTCCCTTATTAATTTATTTATTTTTCAGATAGGGTCTTTCTAAGTTGCTGAGGTTCTAAGTTGTAGGGGCCATCCTTTATTTTTGGATACTGGGGATTGAACCCAGAGGTGCTTAACCACTGAGCCATATCCCCAGCCCCTTTTTAACATTTATTGAGAGACAGGATCTCGCTAAGTGGTTTAGGACCTGGCTAAGTTGCTGAGGCTGGCTTTAAGCTCGTGATCCTCCTGCCTGGACCTCCTGAGCTGCTGGGATTATAGGCGTGCACCCCTGCACTCAGCTGGAGACCATCCTTGAACTTGAGGTCTTCCTGTCTCAGCCTCTGTTTTGGTCAGTTTTTTTGCCCCTGTGATGAAAGGACCCAACCAGAACAATTGCAGAGGAGGAACGGTTTATTTGGAGGCTCACAGTTTCAGAGGTCTCACTCCACCCATAGCAGGCTCCATTCTTTGGGGCTGGAGGTGAGGCAGAACATCATGGCAGAAAAGTGTGGTGGAGGGAAGCAGCTCACATGATGATCAGGAAGCAAAGAGAGTGAGAGAGACTCCACTTGCCAGATATAAATATGTAGCCCAAAGCCACACCCCAATCCCCCACCTCCTCCAGCCACACCTACCTGCCTTCAATCACCAATTAATCCTCTCAGGTGATCAATTCATTGATTGGGTTAAGACTGTCACAACCCCATCCTTTCCCCTCTGAACCCTCTTGCATTGTCTCACACCTGAGCTTCTGGGGGACACCTCACATCCAAAACATAACAGTCTCCCAAGTCCCTGGGATCACAGGCACCACGCCTGGCTAAGCAATGAATACATTTAAAAGCAAGAGGAACAAAAGAAGACTGAACTGTGGGAAACATTCACAGAAGAGAATATAAATATCACACATACAAAAAATACTATACTAACAAAACCAGGCCTGGAAAGGGGAGGGGCGGGGTGGAGGTTACCAAGGGAAGGTCCTCTTCTACAGCACGGTCTACAGACCTGACGCGTGACTTCAAGATGCTAATGGGGGACTCAGAACAGGGTGCTGCAGAAGGGCGTGATTGTGGCACATGGGCGCCAGACCTGGCAGCGGAAAAAAGACTTTCCCTGGAGGGTCAGGTCAGAGAGGGCAGCGGAGCCCAGGAAGGGTGGGGGTGGGGTCTGGATGTAGCTCTGCCACTCTCTAGCTGAGTGAGACCTTGTCTGTGGACCTGTAGGTTTCTTCCACGGCACTCAACTGGGTCTTTTTTTTTTTTTTTTGTCTATTTTGGGGCTTATACTTGAACAGTGCCTGGTACTCAGTAGACACAGTGTTTGTTGAATGAACAATGGTCGGAGTAAACGGGGACCTGGCCTGGGTGCAGAGACTGGCCAGAGCAGGGCACGGGGCGACCTGGACTAGTGTTTCTTGAAGGAGCAGCAGCCTCTGTCCCACTGGACACTGGGGACCCCGGCAGGTGGCACTGGGGACCCAATCCATGCTCCGGCCATAGTGGGCACGGGCTCAGTCACAGGCTGGGTGCACCATTCACCCCTCAAGCCGGAGGCCAGCAGCGAGTGGCAGCCACAGGCAAGGGAGACCAGGCTGGGCGTGAGCAGGGGAGGGGGAGGGGAGCTTCGGAGACGGAGGCCCTGTGAAGTACCAACTGTGCCCCATGTGCCAGGACAGCCAGTGTGAGGTGGATCTGTGTCACTTGCTTAGGCCACAGTGCACAGCTATTTGGCCCAACACCCACCTGGGTGTGGCCGTGAGGTATGTTTTAGGGGAAATTAACATCAAGTCAGTAGGCTTTGAACCAAGCAGATTACCCCCATAATGCGATGGGCCTTGTCCAATCGTCCAATCGGTTACAGTCCTTAAGAGAAAACAGCCGAGTGTCCCATGGGCCTCCGTCTCCAGCTCCACCTGCAGCAGCAGCTCCCAGCTCTGCAGCCTGCCCCGCCCTCCACGTCACTGAGCCTCCTTGGAATGCCCCCCCACACACTGCTGGGCTTCCCTGGAGAACCCCGACTCCCACACTCAGCTTCAGGGAAGGGAGGTGCAATGTCCCAGCCTCTGTCCCGCTGTGTCCTGCACTGTCCTTCCTGCCCAGGGCCCTTGGCTTCTCCTGCCCCTGACCGGCTGTGCCTTCTCCATAGTGGCCTCCTTCCCAGAAGTACAAGCCCAGGAGCCGGAACTGGACAGGAAGGAAACGGCTCTCCTTTTCTCCTGATAAGGCCACTTGCCAGCAGCACTTTCTGGAAGCTTCAGCCATTGGGTGGAACCTTAGTCTGGGTGCGTCTGAAAGGATACACAGCTGTGTGGTGGCCTTGCCCCTCCTGCCACCCCAAGCCCACGGTGTCGGATCTGCTTTAGCTCCAGCATCCCACTGTGGTTCCTCCACAGTCCCCAATTGTGCGGCTCAAGCCGGGCGTGGTGGCACACGCCTGGAGTCCCAGCAATTCTGAGGCGAGGCAGGAGGACTGTAAACTCAAAGCCAGCCTCAGCAAGTTAGCGAAACCCTGGCTCAAAGTAAAAAATAAAAGGTTTGGGGTGTGACTCAGAGGTTAAGCACCCTGCGTTCAGTCCCCAGGACCAAAACAAGAGCGCATTATCAAGTGGGCCATCGCTGTGGGTACCAAAATGTGCGGCCCATCTTCCATCCACTCCCAGACAAGAAGAGCAGCCTAACTGCTCAAAATGGAGGAGACCATGAGTGTCCGCAGAGAGGGCCGGTCATCGACTTAGTCACTGAGGGACGGAGCTGGGTGGGGTGGGGCTGGCAGCCCCTTTCCTTCTCTATCCTGAGGTTTACAATGTGGAAACACTCGATTACTTGGGGCCCGGCACCCCAAGGAATGCAAACAAAGGTCCATCAATGTGGCAGGTGACCGCACTTGAGATGACATGTGACCTCCAAGGAACTGGGGCCTCTGGGGGAAGCATCTTCTCTGCTGGCACTTCCTACTGTCTCCGTGACATCCCAGGGGTCAGAGCTGCAGAAGCAGGGACCAGGGGCTGCTCCCCGAAGCTGCTGAGTGGCCTCAGAGCCATAGCCATGCCGACCACGTGGCTTCCTCACAGAAATGCTCTTTTTCTTCTACTGGAGGGTCTTTTTACTACTAATTCTCATCTGGCAGACTCCGCCTCCTCCCAGGGCATCTCTGAGGCCTGTTTACCCAGAGGACAGCACTGAGCATGCCCAGCAGCAGGGGCACCTCCAGGAAGACCAGGATCAGGAAGGAGGTGCTGCTGAACAAGGACCTGTGGGAACAAGACACAGGAAATAAAAAACTGCCACCTGGGGCAGAGGTCTGAGGTCTTCCAGCCGTCCCTGTGCCCAGATCCGGGGTTCCAGTAGCCAAGTGAGGGAGACCTGGGGCCAGCAGGACAGCTCCCTTGGAAGGCCTGGGCGTCCCCCACTACAGTAAGCCTGGCCTTAAGCCACCTCCTTTTCCTGTCCACCCCCAGTCTGCCGTGGGGGGCTGGTCTCCCACAATCCCCCTCACCTAGTCTCCTTCCCTCCAGGCTGAGGGTTGGCTGTGCTCTCTTTGTCTCGGTGTCTCCACCCAGATGGCCCTCCCCACCCTCACAGCTGCCTGTGTCAGATCTGATGTCACATCTTTGAAGGCTTGTGGGACACCACACCTGGGAATTGTTTCCCTCTGCTCCCACCCACTGTGCCATGGACTGACTCTGGCCCCGCAGTTCTTTGTTATTCCCTGTGAGTCTGAAGGACCCTCGATCCCCCTCCTCCCCACCATCCTCCACAGCCTTCAGGGTCTCCACCTTCCGGGGCCATCTTTGTTTCAGGCCAACAGAAGGCTTCCCGCAGCTCAGGGGTAGATTTGAAAACTCTGGAGTACATCCAACGTGAGAATGCGGATGGGTCGCTGAGTGGACTGAATGTGTTCCTGAAGATGAAGGGGAGGCCACCAGGCAGGGCACAGGTCAAATGCCCTGTGCTCTCTCCATTGCTCTGCACTCTCTGGGGCGCTCCACCACACCTCCCTGGTCTCCTGCCCTCTGTCTCTCAGCAGCTAAAATTCCCTACATTTACACAGAGGCACTTCCAAAACAGAGGAGGAAACCAACCAAACAATCAAACACCACCAAAGACCTGGGCGTGGTGGGGAACACTGCTAATCCAGAGGCTCGGCCAGCCCCAGCAATTTAGCATGAAGCAACTTAGTGAGACTCTGTCTCAAAATTAAAAATAATAAATATAATAATAATAATAAAGGCAAGGAAGTGACTCAGTGGTTAAGGGCTCCTGGGGTGAATGCCTGGTACCAAAAAAATCCAAGCAAGGAGCCTAAAGCAGCCCCCAAGGTGGAGTTCCTCATAAGTATTTAGCTAACTAAAGAGTAAGAGAGTGGAAGGAACAGCATCGACTAGAAAGGGAACCAGACAAGACGGGGTGCAATTCTGGAAGAAGGAGTGGGAGAAAGGGACTTCGCATTGGCTCTGGAAGGAGCACAGGGTTTGTGGTTCAGCTGTGACCTTGACCTGGGGCCTGACTGCAGCTACCTGAGATGGAGTTAAGCTGGAGAGCTATCAGAGGCTGAATTCCTTTGGATATCTTCAAGGGAGGTCAGCCTCAGACTGGCACTCCACAGCCTCTGCTGTGAGAAACGCAGCCAAACTTCCAGCTCCCCGCCCCTCCCCTCTGCACCTCCCACACCTCACTCGGTACTAGGGGAGAGGTGGGCTGGACAAGGAGCCTTGCCAGGAGCAGATGGGAGAGGAGTCTCTCACAACCCACACAGGCCAAACTGTGGCAGTCTTGTCCTCAGGGGGCCATGTTAGAGAGAGGCCAAAGGCCCAGGCCCATTCTCCTCTCCTGCTACCCAGCCGAAGTCTTTGCCTTCACAGATGTGCTCAAAGGTAAACTGAGGTTGGGGAAGCCCACCCCAGATTTTTCAGTGACTCTTCTGACATGAGGATTATATCAGGGGGGACAGGTGGGGGTGCCATGCTGAGTTCACCCACAGGTTGCAGTGACCAGGTTTAGCATGTGAAAGTGCAGGGTGCCCAGGTAAACTTCATATCCAGATAAACAACATACACTTTTTAGTGTTAGATTGTCCCATTAAACACTTGGGTTACCCTTAGGCTAAAGCATTATTTATTGTTTGTGTGAATTCCAGGATTCCTGGGCATCCTGAATTTAATCTGGAAACCTTCCCAGAGGAGACGCCATGGGACCAGGCCCCCAAGAAAGGACTCTAGGACCCAACTCTGCTTACCACTTGAGGGGGCTGGTGGTGCGAGTCACTGATGGGTTGCTGGCGGTCTTCACAGTGATTGAAGTCACTGTGGTTGTCCTTGCTGTCACTGAATTTTCTGGGGCTAAACAAAGCCAAACAGAGTTACTTCTTCCATGAACAACCCAGCTCTGGGTGCAGAGTATTCTCCCCCTGAGAACTAAAGAGTTTCTCCCTGGCCACCAGGACCCTTTAGCTGTCATCTAAAACATTAAAGTAGTTATTTAATACAGAAAACAACTTGATGACCATGCAAGAGATTCTGAGGACCAAGCTCAGGAAGCAAGTTATAATAATCAGTCCTGGTCTGTCTGTCAAGCTGAGCACACACAATGGCGTTTTGTGGTCCCTAGGCCACACTAGCTCTTTCTGAGTCTCTGCCTTGGCTGAAGCTAGCTCTCTTGCCTGTTCTGCAGGGATGCAACCCACTGAGCTGGCCCCCTTTCCCTGAGCCTCCTTTGGGAAACCCAGGCTGCCTGGCACTGATGGCTGGTGCCAGGATGGACCAAGTGCCATCCTCTCCTCTCTCTCCTTTGCCACCCTTTCCTATCTCCCAACAGCTCTACCAGGTTGCCATCCCTTCCCCGGTGGAGTATGGTGCTTGTGATAACCTCCATAATCCACCTCCAATGCAGTGCCAATTCTTGCTGCACCACACTGTTCTCACCTGTGCTGAGCTTCTAGAACAATCTAAACATAAAAGATCACATCACATTTGGCTCTTTTTCTGATGATATCATTTTCCCATATTAGATCAAGATATGACTGGCACATAATAAACTGTAAATATTTGAAGTATATAATTTGTTAATTGAGGATGGATTACCTGGTCACACCACCACTCGATCAAGATAGTGAACATAGCCAAAATACCCCAAATTTCCTCGGTAATACCCTCTTCCCTATTCTGTCACCAGGTGCTGTGGACTGAAAAGTATCCCCCCAAATTCAAACATTGAATCCACACAATTCCTAGTACCTCAGAATGGGACTGTGTTTGGAGACAGGGCCTTTGAGGATACAAGACCTAAACTAACCTTAGAAGAAGAGATGAGAACACATGGACAGACCCAGGGTTGTGCAAGCACAGTAGGATGACCATACGAGAGGACAGGCAGAGGGTGGCTCTCTGCATGAGCGTCCTCAGACCCCACCCAGCCCGCACCTTCATCTTGGACTTGCAACCTGTAGAACTGTGAGGGATGCTCCTGTGTCTACACCACCCAGACTGTGGCATGGCAGCTGAGCAGACGACCACACCAGGCAACCACCGGTGTGCCCTCTGAGCTTATCCAGACTCTGCACTGCTAGAATTCCATGTACATGCCATGAAACAGAAAGTTCTAGAAGGCCTCCACTTCAGGCAAGTTATGAAGATTCGATAATGGGGACACCTTCCTCCTGGGCATTGTCAGGATTCTGAGAGACAATGCCTGCTGCCCACTGTGCCACCAGAACACGCCCCAGAGGTTCCAGGCCTGGGCTCAGGTGACTGTGGTGCTCCTTTGTGCCCCCAGAGCCCTGCCATCTGGTGCCGCCTGTCCAGGGGCCGAGCAGCAGAGTCAACAGGAAACGCCTTCAAACCCAGGCCTCGGGACCCTGGAGCCTCCAGCAGCGCCTGCTTTCTGGAGGACTTAGGACCAGACCCTCAGTAAGCCAAAGGCATGAGCGGCTCCCAGCGGGTTCCCAGCAGCAGGAACACAGCGGTCTGTGAAGGCCTCTCTGGGCTCAGGAGTCAGACCAACACACCAGGCTCCACAGGGCTTCTTCTCCCCCAGGGTGGATACGGAGGGGGGTGAGAACAGCCCTGTCAAGGCCTCGCCCAGAGCACCCCAAAGAGCAGGGCACCCCTGGACACTGAGGTCCCAGGAAAGCAGTAGCAGGTCTCTCCAGACCAAGGGCTGAAACTGGGGACCATCACCTTGACCTTTATTGGCAACAGGTTCAGGACTGAGCTGTGCAGAGGGAAAAGAGAGTCTGCTCTGGCTGACTTCCTGGAGGAGGTTCCAGGATCCGGGGCTTTTAAAGAAGCCCCACCCTGGCCAACCCCAAGTGTTCACTCAGGATTCTGTGAGACCTCAGGATTGAAGCGCCCTCTGTGACAGGTCACTCTGAATAACAGACCATTCACTTCAGTGGGACCTCAGGGACACATCAACACACTCTTACCTGGATCAATGCTCACATCAACTGGAAACCCATAGTCAGATGCAACCCTCTCAATTGCACACCAGTAAATGTCAGTGTCATCTCTCCTGAGGTCCTCCATGGTCACCATGAACGTGAGGTTTTCCTGATCATCCCTGATGGACACACGGTCTTTCTTCACCTCCTGCTCTGACCCAGTGGTTTTAACAAGGGTTTTGCAGCTACTCCAAACAGCTCCTCGACACCAGTACTTCTTGTAGGTCTTCCAGCCTGAGGTATAATTACACTGCACGGTCAGTGAGCCCCGCTCTGGGCCACTCCTTGTCTTTGGACCAGTGACTTCATTCTTTGCAGTGGAATAGCCTGGAAAACACAAACCCAGGTAGCTGTCACTTCCCACCCCAAGGGCACGGCCACAGCATCCTGCACTGGGAAGAGTTCCCAAGTCCAAGTGCATCATGAATAATGGTCAAGGAAGGAACCCACCTTCCCTGAGACGGACCTGCTGGGCCAAAGGCTCCAGGAAGATCATTGGTGAGCACAACCCCAGCTCACTCAAGAAACAAAAGTGGGGACACAGCAAGGATGGCTTCCTGTCCTTCACCCCTCTCTGCCCTCCAACAGCCAGTGAATCATTATTTTTGATTGCAAGCACTGTCCATTGTATGGATGGTCCACAAGTCGTTAATCCATCCACCAACAGGTGGACGTTTGGGTTGTTCCCAATTTGGGACTACTACAAATAAAACGACTATGAATGTTCTCATACAAACCTGTGGGTAGACATAATGCTGTTTAATTTTGAGTATGTGGTTTTCGTTCACATTTTCACTGAATAATAGTGTTGAGCATCTTTCTTTCTTCCTTTTTTTTTTTTTTTTTTTTTTTTTTTTGGTACCAGGGATTGAATCCAGGGGCAATTAACTCAGGATCTTCCTGCCTCAGCCTCCCAGGTTGCTGGGATTACAGGTGTGCTCCACCACACCCAGCTATGTTAAGTGTCTTTTCATTATTTGCCATCCACATATAGTCTTTTTAAAATAGATTTTTTAGTTATAGACACAATATCTTTATTTTGTTTACTTATTTTTATGTGGTGCTGAGGATTGAACCAGTACCTCACATGTGCAAGGCAAGCGCTCAGCCACTGAGCCACAACCCCGAATATGGTCATTAGTAATGTGTCTATTCAAATCTTTAACCCATTTTTATTGAATTATTTGTTTTCTTGTTTTAGAGGCTTAAGACTTCTTTATGTTCTGGAAAAAAATTATGTATCAGATTGTATCAGTTATGTGTTGCTCTGTAACAGGTTACCAAGAAACTTGGTGGCTTGAAATATCAAACATTTATTATCTCACACTTTCTTCAGATCACGAAGCTGGACATGGCTTGGCTGGGTCCCCTGGCTCACAAGGTTGTGACGGAGGTATCAGCCAGCTGGGGCTCTGGATACCTCAATAGGGAGAATCTGCTTGTAAGCTCACTCCTGTGGGTTTTAGCAGGTCTCAGGTTCCTCTGGCTGTTAGCCAGGTGACAGTTCCTAGACACTCAGCCTTCCCACAGGGCTACTGACAACATGGCAGCTTGCTCCTGCCAGAGAGCAGGGTTCAGGAGAAGACAGTGAGTGGGCAAGGAGATGGAAGCCACAGCCTTTTTAGAACCTAATGTGGGAACTGATAGCCCACGAAATGTTCCATACTCTGTCCACCAGAATCAAGTTACTAGGTCCAGTCCACACTCAGGGGAAGGGATTACACCAGGCTCTGGGTACCCAGAGGTGGAGACCCCTGGGATCTCTCTTAGAGGCTCCCTGTCACACAGCTTCTGTATGTACTCTCTGAATGATTTCTCCCAGTCTCATTGTATTCTCTTCATGCTATTTTCCAAAGAGTGGAGGTTTGAATTTTAACAAATTATCAATCTTATAGATTATACTTTTGGTGTTAGACCTAGGAAAAAAATGTACCAAACCCAAGGTCTTAAAAGAGTTTCTTCCATGTTTTGTTTGGTTTTTTGGTACCAGAGATTGAACCCAAGGGTGCTTAACCACTGAGCAACATCCCCAGCCCTTTTTATATTTTATTTAGAGACAGGTTCTCGCTAAGTTGCTTAGTGCTTCACTAAGTTGCTGAGGCTGGCTTTAAACCTGTGATCCTCCTGCCTCAGCCTCTCTAGCTGCTGGGATTTCTTCCCTGTTTTATTGTGGAAGTTTTGTGGGTTGGGATTTTACATCTAGATCTATGATCTGTTTTGAAATAATTGTGAATAATCTAAAATATGGGTTAAAATCCATTTTTTTAACACAGGGACACCAGCACAATTTGTTGATAGGATTATCATTTTTCATTTAATTGCTTTATAGCTTTGCCTATATATATATGTGTCAGGTGGGTGTACCTACATCTGGATCCTCTGTTCTGATTCACCTTTATCGATGTTTCTATCTGACCCCAACACTGACATTATGACTACAGCTTTATTTTAAGTGTGGAAATCAGAAGTGAATGTCTTCCAACTATGTCCTTCTTTTTCAAAGTTGTTTTAACTATTCCAGGTCCTTACATTCCCACACCAATTTTAGAATCAGCCTGTCAATCTCTTTCAAAAAAAAAAAAATCCTACTAGGATTTTTAGGCGTTGTGTTGAATCTATAAGTTAATTGTCTTTTAAACAATGTTGAATCTTACAACCCATACACAAGACATATTTCTTCATTTATTTAGCTTTTCTTTGGTTTCTCTCAGCATTATTGTATAGTTTTGCCATTTAGGTCTTGCACATCTTTTGTAGATTTATCCTTAAAGAGTTCATATTATGTTATTATAAATGGTATTTTGAAATTTCAACTTCTGATCACTTATTACAAGTTCATAGATATCAGCTGATGCTTGCAACCTTGCAAGAGACTCACTCACTAGTTCTAGTAGTTATATTTAGAGAGGGGGATATTTCAAGAGTTTTCTGAATACATAATCGTATTTTCTCCTGCTCAAGAGATTTTTATTTGTTTATTCAATCTGGATGCCATATACATATAAATTTTTAAAAAATATTACTTCTGCCTAGAAACCCCACTACAATGTACAACAGAAGTGAAAAGAAAGCGTTCCTGATGTTAAGGAAGAAAGCATTGGTCCATCACAATTATGTATATTATCTTTTGTAATTGCCTCTTATCAGGTTGAAAATGTTTCCTTGTTTGACAAGAGGTTTTCTTGGGTTTTGTTGTTGTTGTTGTTTGTTTGTTTGTTTTGTTTTGTTTTGTTTTGTTTAAATCAGGAACAGAGTTGGATTTTATCACATGCCTTATCTGTGCCTATTGAGATAATCATTTGCATTTTATTTTGTAGTGTGCTTGATTCACACTGATTAATTTTTGAAGGTCAATCACATTCTCACTCCTGGGATAAACCCTGCTTCATTATGATGCTTTTATTTCTCCATATACTATTGAATTCAATTTGCTAAAATTTTCCTTAGAACGTTTGCAGTTTCATTTATGCAAACATTTACATAAATACTTGCCTGTAATGTCTTGTTCTCGGTCTGTACCAGGTTAACGGTAGCCTCGTTGATCTCCAGTTTCTAGAGGAGTTTTATAGAATTGCTATTATCTCAGCCTTTTTGGTCGAACTCTCTGGCATACCATCTAAGCCCAGGGTGTTGTGTTTTAGTTTGCTCTGTTTTGTTTTGTGGGAAGGTTTTAAACCACAAATTCTGTCATTAATAGATGTAGAGTTATTTCAGTCATCTGTTTCTTCCTGAGTGTCTTTGATAGTTCGTGCCTTTCAAAAGATTTTTTTCCTTTTCATCTAAGCTGGTAAATATATTGGCATATAAGTTGCTTGTAACATTTCCTTATTGTTCTTTTTACATCTGTAAAATCTGTTGTGATTCCACTTTTCTTTAGTTTTTTTATATTAGCAATTTTATTTCTTCTCGATTTTTTCCTGGTCACTATGACTAGAAGTTTATCAATGTGTTTTTATCTCGTCACTGAAATGGCATTTCATTTCACTGATTTTTTTCTATTGATTTTTTTTTGTTTTGTTTTCTATTTCATTTGATCTTTCTTATCTCTTTTCTGATGCTACTTTGGGCTTAATTTTATTTTCTTTCTATAGTTTCTTTCTTCCTTTCCAATGGTCTTTTATAGTGATATAAAATTTCCCCTAAATACTGAATTAGTAGCATCTCACCATTTTAGCACATTCAGGTTTCTATAACAAATTACCATGAATTTGGTGGCTTACAAACAACATAAATTTCTTTCTTGCAGTCATAGAGCCTGGGAAGTCTAAATTAAAGGCACCAACAGATTTGTTGTCTGATAAGTATGGGTTCAGAGGTTCATAGTCATTGGGATCACATGCATGTGCCACGCTCCCAGTTTAGTAAGATTTATTTATTTTACTATTGGGACTTGAACCCAGGGGAACTTTATCACTGAGCTACATCCCCAATCTTTTTAAAATTTAAATCTTGCAACAGAGTCTTGTTAAGTTGCTGAGGCTGGCCTTGAACTTGAGATTCTCCTGCCTCAGCCTCCTGACTCACTGGGATTACAGGTATGCACCAGTATACCTGACTCATAATGTTGGATTTTAATTGGAAATTAAATATTACTGATCAGTCTACCTAAAATCTCAAAACATCATAAACAAAGTAAATGAAAAATGGGAAAATATTTTATAACAGGTTTTAAATTCCTGAATGTACAAGTAGATTTTAAATATCAATAAGAAAAAAAATAGATATCTTTGTAAGCTTCTGTTGTAAAGGCACTGATCCCATTCAGGAGGGCAGAACCTCCATGGCTTAATCACCCCTCAAAGGCTCCACTGTATACCCTCTTATGATAAGGGTCCATCATCCATTGGGGATGTAGCTCAGTGAGAAAGTACCCCTGGTTCAAGTCCCAATACTGAAATAAATGTTAGGGAGACACAATATTCTGGCCATGTCTCCCACAAGGAGACATTGTGTTTTCTAAGACATTATGTTTTCATTTTTATTCAATTAAAAAAACCTCACAGTTTCCTTTTGTTTATTTGTGGTTTTAGAAGTAAGCTATTTGGTTTTTGAAATATTTAGGAACTTTCCAAGGAACTGTCTTTTATTAATTTCCAATTTAATTTCATCATGACCAGAGAATGACTTAAATCCTTTTAACTTTATTGAGAATGACTGAAATTCCTTTAAATTTATTGATACAGGTTTATAGTCCAGCATTTAGATATCTTGGAACACGTTCATCTGAAAAGCACATGTATTCTGCTGTTGTTGGACAGACTGTTAAATAACATTAAGGGTAAGCTGACTGGCAGCGCTGTTCAAGTCCACTACATCCTTACTAATTTTCTATTTGTTCCATCAACAACTGAGAAAGGGGTATAAAAAGGGCTATTTGTCCCTTTTCCCTTGTAGTTCTATCAGGTTTTGTTTAATACATTTTGAAGCTCTGCTATAAACTCTTTTATTACATAAATAAAATAAGGTTGCTATGTTTTCTTGATGCATCTACCTCTATATCTTTATGAAATAATCTTTTCATCACCATCAAAAGTCTTTTCTCTGAAATCCACTTTGGAATTAGTATATACATTCTAGCTTTAAAAAACTATTTTTGTGGGGGCTGGGGATGTGGCTCAAGCGATAGCATGCTCGCCTGGCATGCGTGCGGCCCGGGTTCGATCCTCAGCACCACATACAAACAAAGATGTTGTGTCCGCCGAAAACTAAAAAATAAGTAAATATTAAAATTCTCTCTCTCTCGCTTTCTCTCCCTCTCTCTCTTTAAAAACAACTATTTTTTTACATCTTTTTCCATTCTTTTACTTTTAGTCTAGTCAAATATTTGTACTTAAAGTACACTTCTTGATGACAGTAGAGATTGACTTTAGATTTAAGTTCAATCTTCCAATCTCTGGCAAGATTAGACACTTATATTTAATGTAATGATGGATCTGGTTAGGTTTCTGTCTTATTACTATTTATTTTTATTTATCTCATTTGTTCTTTGTTCCTTTTTTATTTTTCTGCTTTCTGGAATTTATTGAGTATTTTTCATGACTCTCTTATATCTTTGTTGGTATATCAGCTATAAGTCTTTGTTTTGACATTTTACTGGCTGCTGAAGGACTTATCATGTACATTTTAAAATAATAATCAACCTCCAATGCATAGCACTTGTTGTATAATAAGTTCACGATAGTATAATTCCATTTTCTCCCTCTCAGGTTTTATGCTATCAATGTCATGGCTTTTACTCATTTATATGTCATAAATTACACAATACACTGTAGCAATTAAAAGATAATTATCTTTTAAAGAAATTTTTAAAATATTAAATATTATTCCATATTTGCTTGAGTAAATGTCATTTCTAGTGTTCTTTATTCATTTATAAAGATCTACATTTCCCTCTGGTGTTATTTTCCTTTGGCCTGAGTGGCCTTTTTAACAGTTCTTGTAGGGTAGATCTGTTGTTGATGGATTTTTCGCCTTTTATATTTTATTTTACTTTGGTTTTTGAAAGCTTTTTTACTGGGTAGAGAAACCAATATTTATATATATTTTGTTCTTAAGATTTTGTTTTATTGTCTTCTCATTTTCTTCATTCCTAGCAAGAAATCTGCGGCCCTCCTTATCTTTGTCCCACTGTATGTGATGGGTCATGTCTCCGGATGCTCTTTGAGATTTTCTCTTGGTCACTAGTTTTGTGAAATTTGATTATTATGTATGTTGCCCTAGTTTTCTTCAGGATTCTTGTATATAAAGTTCATTCAGCTCATTGGAACAATGGGATATTAGTTTTTATCAAATTGGTAAAAATTCTGGTTTTTATTTCTCCAGATAATTTCTCTGACATTTCTCCTTTCAAAGATGACAATTTTATGTCTATGAGAATGAGTGAAGTCTCACATATCACTAATGCTCTATTGTTCTTATAAATTTATTTCCCCTACATACATTTCACTTCAGATGATTCCTGCTTATATCTCTTCAAATTCACTAATATCTTATTCTGTAAGTTTAAATATACCACTAATCTCTTCTGGTGTGTTTTTCCATCTCAGACACTAGTTTTCAGCTTTAAAAGTTTGAAATGGGACTTTTTATATTTTCCTTGTCTCCTGGACATATGAAGTATAGTTATCATACTGATTTAATTTCCTTTTTTTCTAATTTCAACATCTGTGTCAGTTCTAGGTTGTTTTCAGTTGTGACTATTCTCAGAATCAGTGGGTGTTTTCATGCTTTTTCACATCATCATCATCATATCTTACAACCTTTGCCTGTCTTGCACATGTTGTGATTTTCACCCTGTTATTCTCGGGTATTTTTTAATTTAAATTACTTGGAAGAGTCTGAATTTTTCAAGATTTGCTCTAAAGATCTATAAGGCCATACATATCAAAGCAGCTTTTAGTCTAGAGCTAATTATTCATCACTACAGAGGCAAGACATTGATAAATACTCAGTCCAATACCCCACAGATATGTCTTGCCAATCTGGCTCATGAGAACGGTCACAGTATCTGGCCCTGAGGACGCTGGCCACCATTCCCTCTAATCATTTTGGGTGGTTCTTCACCCAACCTCAAGTAGCTTTCTCATACATGAGGTGATCTTTACTCTCTTGAATACTCACAGAAGCCCCTTTTCAGACCATTGGGATTCTCACCCTTTTCAAGTCTTTCCTCTCTGCTTCTGTGTCCTGTGAACTTTGACTCAATATTGTTTAATTCACAGTTAATGCACTCAACATGCAATACAAAGTTAATACTTGTTAGGGTCTGTAAACAAGTCAGGATGGCGCCTGGCAAATGTTAGAGTCTGTAAACAAGTCTGGATGGCGCCTGGCATTTTGCCAGAGGGAGTGGTTTGTGAAGTAAGTCCAGATAGCCATTAAGTGTGGAGATTCCTTGTTGGTTGACTGCTGTATCTAGTTTATGTTAATTAAGATAAGCTGTGTGGAATGTATAAATACCGCTCCTGTCCTACAATAAACGGCTTCCACTCCTGCTGCATCAATGTACACAAGTTGTTCGTCACCCCCCGGTTATTTTGCTGCAGCCGGACTGCGGCAAATACTCACAATTGATCATCTGCTTTGGGGAGACAATTTGTTCCCAAACAGCCATTCTGCCATCTTTCCTCCTCTGCATCTTGTCTCTTATTTTTCCTTATGGTCCCTTCAAGTCCAGAGGTCTTCTAGGGTCTGTTTGAGTTATGCTCAACCCTCAAACTCTCTCAAGGCTGTAAGCTGGGCAGTTGTTTGGCTCACCTTTTGAAATTTACTTCCTCTCATGGATTAGGGCTTTTGTTGCCTGATATCCAAATTGTTGAAGATATTTGTTTCCTGTATCTTGTCTATTTTGTTTACTGTTGTTTAAGGCAGGAGGAAAATCTGATTCTTTTACTCTACTTTGTCCATCAGCAGATGTTCCATAGTTTATTTTATGTAAATAAGACTTTTATCTCTATATAAATGAGAATATGCAAGATTCCCAAATGATTGACTGTGTGAATGTGTGCGTGTGTGTGTGCGTGTGCGTGTGTGCACGTACGTGTGTGTGTGTGTGTGTGTGTGTGTGTGTGCAGAGCGGGGTGAAGGAATTCTTCCCTGCCTCACCTTCCCCCCAAGTGGAGACAGGACTTGGGGCTCCAAGGGGAGACCTACAGGGCACAGGCGGTTGCCCAGTCTCAGCATGAATCACTTTTTCCAGGGATAAGCTGAAGCTTTTCAGGCAAGCAAGGCTTGGTCTAGAGACCCCAGTGAGTCTCAGAGGCCATCAGAGGAGGAGAGGGGAAGGCACTTGAAGTGGAGTGGAACGTGTTCCTCTCTTTTCTTAGTAAAACTTTTATAGTAGTGGGTTCAGAGTCCCTCATCCCACACCCCTAGCCAGGAACCCCTGGAATTTTAGCCACTTTCATGTTAGAAAGGAAGCTGGATTATCTAGATTTTGGTTTCCTAGGATTCTAAGCCTCTGGAGCTCTATACTTGATGACTTAAGAGTTAATTTTACTTAAAGTGTGCAAAAGTGAATCACACAGCCTCCAGAAACCAAACTGGAGGCTCTATTTAGTGAGAATATCGGGTTTGTAGGTTCCAGGGAGGGCAGAGCTGGTGCCACTAATAACCAGGTCGGGGCCACTGCCTTTTCCAACCCCTGTACCCAAGCCAGGCTTGTCCTGCTTGACTGACTGCAATAAGCACTAATGACAGGCAGAGAAGCTACGGCAGTATCCTTCTCCTGATGTCTCTGGAATCCCAGTTTCTGTCTCTAATCCAAGTCTCTACCTCAAAGGGTCTCACACATACACAGGACCCCAGGTGGGGACAAGGAGATTCATTTTTGTTGCTCAGGAGAGAGAGTGGGATCTCTGAAACCTCCATTCTCAGCACCGTGGTCACATGATGCATGAGGGGAGAATTCTTACCTGGATAAATGGTCACATTAACTGGAAACCCAGGGTCAAATCCAGACCTCTCAATTACACACCAGTAAATGTCAGCGTCATCTCTCCTGAGGTCCTCCATGGTCACCATGAACATGAGCCTTTCCTGATCATCCCTGATGGACACACGGTCCTTCTTCACCTCCTGCTCTGACCCAGTGGTTTTAACAAGGATTTTGCAGTCCCTCCGATCAGCTCCTCGACACCAGTACTTCTTGTAGAACTTCCAGCCTGAGGTATAATTACACTGCACGGTCAGTGAGCCCCGCTCTAGGCCACTCTTTGTCTTTGGACCAGTGACTTCATTCTGTGCAGTGGAATAGCCTGGAAAACACAGATCCATGTAGCTGTCACTTCCCACCCCAAGGGCACGGCCACAGCGTCCTGCACTGGGAAGAGTTCCCAAGTCCAAGTGCATCATGAATAATGGTCAAGGAAGGAACCCACCTTCCCTGAGACGGACCTGCATACTTAACACCTGCTGGGCCAAAGGCTCCAGGAAGATCACTGGTGAGCACAACCCCAGCTCTCTCAAGAAACAAACATGGCAGCACAGCAAGGATGGCTTCCTGTCCTTCACCCCTCTCTGCCAGAATTCAAAGTGATGGGAGCTGGAGACAATTTCATCACAGACAGAGCTCCATTATAAATATCCACCAGGGACAGAAGGTGGTCTACACACTCCAATGTGCTTCTGTGACATCTGCAGGGAACTGAGACCATTACACACACTTCTTTAAGGAAAGAAGAGGTTTTGAGATTCCATGTGTTAATTTGAAAAAAAAAAGAACACTCTGCATCAAAAAGGAAAGACAACATTAAGGTAAATATTTTTTTTTCAAAATATATCTAAAATTTACTTACCATAAGTAAAAATATAACTGAAAATTGTTTCTAGAAAACAAAGTTTGATATTAGAGGGAAAATTTCCTTACAGAAGTTAATCTGATTATCGACAATGTGAAAAACTATAAAGATGCACTCTATTTTAACAAAAATGAGAAAGTACATATTAAAACTTGAATTACATGGTCACAGCTGTAGTTACTTCAAAAGTAAGTTCTTGGAAAAAAACTTCAGTAATTCATCAAAGAGTCAAACAGAGTTAACATCTGATCCAGCAAATATACTCCTAGGTAAGTCCTTCCCCAAGAGAACTGAAACATCTCCCACCACAAAACACCTACATGACAGTTCACAGCAGTATTATTAACAACTACCAAAGAGTGAGAACAACCCAAAGATCCATCAACTGATAAGTGGGTAGACTAAATGTGCAAAATGTGGTAGATCTACAATGGACTATTAGTCAGCAAAAAGAGTGACGTTCTAATACATGCTATCATACTGATGAGCTTTGAAAACATTACACAAAGTGCCAGAAGTCAGACACTAGAATGGTTCCATTTATAGGAAACTTCCTCATCAGACAAATCCACAGAGATCGGACAGCAGATGAGTGGCCTTGAAGGCAGGGGGTGTGGGGAAGGGAGCAACTGCTAGCGGGCTAACAACTTCCTCCTGAGGTGATGCAAATGTTCCAGGAGTGGACAGAGTGATGACCATGCAACTTTGCAAATATACTAAAAGCCACTAAGTTTTACACATTAGAAGAGTGAATGTTGTGGTGTGTGGATTGTAACTCAATGTTTCTGAAGCACTGGGGAGAGAGTCCAAGGTCCTGCACCTGCTAGGCAAGCTCTCTACCGCTGATTTACATCCCCAGCCTTAAATCTCAAGTTTCAAAAGTGGAGAAAAGTAAATTCTACACCTTAAACTCTCCTGAATTCATTTTAGGGAGAAAAGAAATTAGTAGAGTCATTAACTTCAAGGAGACAGCATTAGTCATCCCAAGGCAATTAGAGGAAGAAGTTGTAAATATGAGAAATTAGTAATTAGAGAATAAAGGCAGTAACATTGTCCAACTAAATCTCAAAACTGTCCAGTTCTGATGTAGGAAAAAGAAGGGAGTAAGACATAACAATAAAGTAGAAAATCCTGCAGCATATGTAATCCATAAAAACAAAGCACAAAAAAAATAAATCAATCAAAATGAGTGTGTTGCAATAGCTTCTAAATATTCGAAATAGGCCCTCCTCATTGAACATATGGCACTACCCCAAGGTTGGGGGTGTGTTGCCCTCATGAACTCAGCGTCCATATTTATGCATGCTATGGACTGAATCTGTTACCCTAAAATTCACATGTTGAAGCCCTAGCTCTCCACGTGGTGATAGAGATGGGCCTTAGGAGATGATCAGGGCTTGACGAGGTCCTCAGGGTGGAACCATTCTATGGGATGAGTGCTCTTATAAGGGACACTAGAACACTGTTTCCCTCACCTTCTCCCCTCCCGCTTCCCAAGTGGTCACAAAGAAGAAACATCCTTGCATCCCTGACATAAATCCCACTTGAACGTGGTGTGTAATCTTTTTTAAGTGTTGTTGGATTGGGTTTGCTGGTATTTTGATGAGATTGTTGTAGCTGTTCATCAGGGACATGAGCATGCAGTTTTCTTCTTGTGTTCTTGTCTGGTTTGGGGGTCAAGGTCGTGTTGGCCTCAGAGTGAGTTTGGAAGGGTTTCCTCCCTTTTGATACTTTGGGATAATTTGAGAAGAACTGGCAACCGTTCTCCTTTAAAACTTAAGGAAAGGCAATGGCGAATTCATCTGGTCCTGGGCTTTTCTTTTGCCCCCATTACATGATCAAGTAGGATTCACCCCAGGAACACCAGGATGACTCTACACACAGAGATTGATAAACATAAGAGACCATCAGAAGGAAGGGTAGATACCAGGTGACCATCTCAACAGGAGCAGAGAAAGCATCCATATAAAATTCAGCATCCCTTCATGATTAAAGCCCTCAAAAATCAGGTGTAGAAGGGATGCACATCAACATAATAAGGTCCGTATATGACAAAACCTAGACCACACTGAACAGGGGAGGGCTGAAGTTCCCTCCTTGAACATCAGGAACAGGGAAGGAGGTTACCTTCCATCGGTCTCATTCAATATGGCACTAGAAGTTCTTGCCAGAGCAAAAAGACAGGAGAAAGAAAGAAGGGGGGCATCCAAAGAGACAAGGAGGAGGCCAGGTTATCCCTGTTTGCAGGTGACATGATTCTATACAGATATAAAGAACTGATGAACTTACTAAGGTTGTAGGATACAAAATCAATTTGCAAAAATCAGTATCTTAAAAAAATTGCCAATAGTCAAATGGCTGTGAAAGAAATAAAGAAAGTAATCCCATTCACAAGGCTTAAAAAATCAAATTCCTAGGAAGAGAGTTTATCAAGGAAGTGAATGATTTTTACAATGCAAATTGAAAAATCCCGACAAAAGAAAATTGAAGAGGACACCCAAAAGGGAAAGAGATCTCATGTTTGTGGATTGGAAGAATCATTGTTAAAATGTCCATACTACCCAAAGAGATCCATAGATTCGGTGCAATTCCTATCAAAACACCCACAGCACCCTTCACAGAAATAGAAAAAGTTCTCCTAAAATTCCTACGGAACCACAGAAGACCCCAAATAGCCAGAGGAATCCTGAGCAAAAAGAACAAAGATGGAGCATTACAGTACTTGACTGCAAACCTAGAACAAAGCAATAGGAATCAAGAGTAGTACGGTGCTAATAAAGGAAGAGACACACAGACCAGCAAAGGAGACAAAAGCCATAGAAATAAATCCACATAATTATAGCCACCTGGATTTTGATAAAGGCAGCAAGAACTTACATTGGAGAAGGAAAAGTCTCTTCAATAAATGGTGCTGGGGAAACTGGATATCCACATGCAGGAAAAAGAAATTTAACCCTTATCTCTCAACATGTTAAAAAATCAGCTCAAAACGGATCACAGGCTTAAATGCAAAAGCTGAAACTACCAGAAGAAAATACAGGGAAATGCTCCAGGACATGGGCTTCAGGAAGATTCTTGGCTATGACCCCTGTAGCACCAGCCACAAAAGCGAAAACTGAGAAACGGAATCCCACCAAGTGAGCTTCCGTACGGGAAGGACGCAGTCAGCAGGGTGAAGAGGCAGAACGGGAGGGACACTCGCAAACCACTCTACAGCAGGAGGTTAACTTCCAGGACATACGGGGATCCCAACAGCAAGATGATAACAACGAGGAGGAGAACGGAACTGAAAAATGAGCAAAGGACCTGAATAGACATTTCTCCAAGAGGACACACAAATGGCCACAGGAAGAAAGGTTCAATCACTAATCATCAGGCAAATACAGACCCCAGCCACAAAGGTCTATCATTTCATCCCAACTAGAATGGCTATTACCAAAAAGACAAGAAGTCACCCATGCTGGTGAGGGTGTGGGGAAAGGGGAACTCTCTCATACGTTGTGATGGGAAGCAGCGTGGAGCTTCCTCAAGCAACGACAGATACACTACTATGGGACCCAGCCATCCCGCCCTGGGTACACAGCCACAATAAGTGGAGTCCGCGTGTTGAAGAGACCCCTGCACCCCCGCTGCAGCACAATTCACAAGAGCCCTGAAATGGAATCATCCTGGGGGTCCACTGGTGGATGAGTGGACAAATAAAACATGGGACCTATACACGGGGAAATACCACTCAGCCATAAACGAATGAAATCGTCGTTCAAGGCACGTGGGTGGACCTGGAGGACAGAATGTTAAGTGACCTGAGTCAGACCGCAGACACATGCTGCACGTTTTCACTCACACACGGAACTAAAAGGTCGATCTCAAAGAAGTAGGAAACAGAACAGTGGTCAGCATGTGGACGGGAGGGTCGAGAGGGAGCGGTGAGTGGGGAGGGTGGCGACACTCTTAAAGCAAAGGGGGCCAGTCAAACACCATGTCCCTGAGCACCCCTCTCCATCTCCAAAACCCAAGTTAAGGGGACACTGAGAGCAGGCCTGGGCCAGGATGTCCAGACACCATCTTGAAGGACGCTGGCCTTCCCTCATGCACACTGGGAACCAGGGCGAGCCAGGTTATCTGTGGAAAGACGCTTCTCGCGTGCACCAGGGACTCTGCTCAGACAAGCTCACAGAGCCAGCTGGTGACGATGCTGTCCCTGCTTCCGCAGCCTCACCAAAAACCCCTCAGTGCCCACAGGGCAGACCTGAGGGCCTCCATAGACACCACCAGTATGGAGAGGAGGCCCTGCTGGGTGAAGCAGTGTGGGGGACAGGGGTGCTATCTGTCTGTCTGTCACCTCTGAACTTTTCCTAGAACAGCCACAGGAAGCCTTGCCCAACAAATCTCAGGTCTCACATGCTGTCTCTGGGCATTTTCTTTGACTTCCCTGCAACCTACCCCGCTGCCCTGGCATGACTGGGCTGTGGACATGACAGGGTGCAGCCGGGTGGAAGGAATTCTTCTCGAGTCGTCTGGCACCGCAGGATAACTGTGGTTGGCAACAATCAGCTCAATATTGAATACTGTGGGATGTCCAAGGTGAGGGATGTGCCCATCGCTCCACTCTGACCTTACCCGCTGCACACCTGGGTTGAAATGTCACACGGTATTCCCTAAACATGCACAATTATCATGTCTACTAAAAATAAAAATGTCCTTTGACAGGGTGCACGGGTTCCTTAGTCCACCCACTCATTCCTCCGGCTGTGCAGAACCACCAGGGTTGAGAAGCACACTTCTGGAAAGAGGCATTTTAATTTTGTCTTGTTTCTTGTTGGTTTCCACAACACCTACCCCAGAACCCACCAGATTACAAAAACTCGCTTTTTATTGACTGAATTAGCATCTGGAGAGCTAAAGATGGCCCTGCCGTTTCCCCAGGACAGACCCTCTGTCTCCCGCCCAGCCTCTGACTTTCCAGGTCCACCTCCAGCTCCACTCACCTGGAAGGAGGAGGAAGAGCAGAGCAGGGAACAGCCACATGGTCCCGCCTCGGCTCCTGTCGGTGATGACAGGCACCCGCGGACCTGGAGGACTGAAGCCAGCTCTGGAGTGAGCGACCCCAACCCGCCTCCGCCTCCCTTGGGCTTCTCTCGGACTTCGACTTTGTCGGCACCAACTTCCCGGTTTTTTGTGTTAGGAGAAAAGGGGCGTCGTCCTTTGAGAAGACCCGGCCACACTGGGTGGCGCAAGGCACAACTTCCCTATGTGTGGGAAAGAAAGCGGATCAACCGTCTGGTCAGGTCTGCATACAGGAAGTGCGCCCGGGGTGAGGCGGAGGAGGGCGAGGGGACAGCAAACCCACCCAAGCCTGTGACACCTTGATAGGTGACTCCGGGCCTGCAGCCACCCAGACAGCAAACCCACCTCAGCAAAGCCCTCCGTGGTGAAGCAGAGCTGGGCCCTCACAGGCTTGTCTTCTGCTACCCCTTGGCTGCTCCTGCAGCGCTCTCTGCCAGGGACCCGTGTGTGGCCCCGGGCGGAGCAGAAGCAGGAAGTCCACTGTGGGCCTCCCCTGCCTACAGCTCCGAGGACCTCAGGACACCTCAACAAGCTCGTTCCTCCTGCTCACAGGCCTCTGTCCCCAAGAGGCAGGGGCGTGGTTAAGCCCAAGTGGGCCCTCTGCATGAGTGTCCTGTGGCTGCTGTAACGAGTCCCTGCAAAGTTGGCGGCTTAAAGCTTACGGTTTTATTGTCTTGCGGTTCTGGAGATGAGGAGTCTGGCGTGGGTCTCACTGGCTAAAAGCCCAGGTGTCAGCAGGCTGGTTGCCTCTGGAGCTCCAGGGGAGAATCTGTTCCCCTGCCTCTCAGCTTCAAAAGGACACCCACATCCTTCTGTCTGCAAAGCCGTCAAAGGCCGTTGGTGCTTTGTCCCATTTCATCACCCTGACGCCGACCCTCCTCCCTCCTCCTGTCACTCCTCAGGACCCTGTGATTACACGGGGCCCATCCGGATTGCCCAGGCTAACCTCCCCTGGGTCCACTGATAACCGTCTTAAAAATCCATCTGCTGCCTTAACAACTCCTTGCCGTGCGACGTCATGTGTTCCCAGGTTCTGGGCTCGGGAAGTCCTGGGGAGTCATTGTTCTGCTGTCTGCTGCCTGGAGAAAGGTTGTCCTGATGCACTGAGTGCAGAACCCGGAGCTCAGCAAGACTGCGGAAGCACCAGACGAAGCGTGGCAGGAGAGCCAGAGTGGGCCGCAGGGTGAGAAGAGCACAGTGGCTTCGTGGATGTTTTTAGGACGCGCAAGGTGGCTCACCTGCTCTCTGAAACCCACGTGTCTCGTCAGGGCTCCCAAGCACTGGGATCAAGGCCAATTCAAGGAGAAAACCAGGGTGGCCCCTAGGGATGGAGATGTCCCAGCATGGCGTGTGGGGAGGGGTCAGGTTCTTACAGAGAGACAGGAACTATGCAGGGGACATGAATAATGAATGGCTGAATAGTCTACTAGACCAAAGAAATGTCAAGTGTATGGACGTGGGAGATGGCAGAGCTCACAGCTGCTGCCACCTAGGGGTCAGAGCGGGGAAAGACACCCTCCCAGGAGAACTAAGTCGGTAAACAATCAAGTTGAAGCGGGCAGGCTATCTTCCCCTGCTTCCAAGAGGAAATATTAGACCTGAGTTTGACCGTGGGACTTACAAAAGGAGGCACAGGTAGAAGAGAGCAGAGGCAGAAATCAGGGAGCAGAGCAGACCCCCAAGCTCAGCTAGAACACCTGGGAGAGGCTGGGGATTGTGGGAAAGGAGAGCAACCAAACCTCAGATGGGCCAAAGTCAGCGAGGGCTGTCCCCGCTAAGCCAGTGGGGATGCCGCTGAAGGCGTAGGTGTTAGGCAGCATTACTGAGGCCCTTGGAGGGGATTGCTTTGTCTAGGGACCACAAGGTCATGGGGCCACCATTGTGGCTCAGGGAGAAAGGGATGAGAAGGCTGAAGGCTGCTACTTTCATTCTTCGTGGGTTCTGTCTGCTCATTTAAAAAAAATATATATTTTTTCTCCATATTTTATTTTGAACCATTTTTAAAAACTATTCAATCTCTTTTATGAGTTCAGTTTTTGGAGAGTTCAGGTTATCCGTGTTACTGTAAAATCATGACTCTGCTATGAAAGAATAAGAAAAGAGTTTATTCTGTGCCAAGTATGAATGACTGCCGCAGTCTGGCTGGGCACAAATGCCGCAGTCTGGCTGGGCACACAATCACGAGCCACCACACAGCTTGTAGATTCAAACAGCAACTCTTTATTCCCGAACTCACACCAGCCGTCTACAAACACGTTCTGGGGAAATCCACGTTCTCTGCCCAAATCCACCTCCACTGGGCTTCTCTCTCCCAAAATATACTGTCTGAATCCCGTGAGAACTCAAGGGGAACTCAGGCAGCAGGATACGCCCTATTCCCAGCAGGAATAATCTTAAACCTTAAACCTGGAACCTAAACTGGGAACGCCCTAAACCCGATTATCTTAAACCGGGAACACCCTAATCCGCCCTGGTCCTTGAGCAAGGTCACCTGCATTCAATGTCACTGCAAAATGTCCGCAACATGGGGTACGCTGGCAAGGAAATTGTCATACCTACTTGGCTAATGGCTCCCAGCAAATGACCATGGTCTGGGGACATGATTGCAAGTTGCCCTGGATGTGAAGTCCCACCACGGAAGAGGTTACATGAACAAAGAGGTTAGCCATCGAACAAAGAAGGCGATAAATCGAGTACACTTGCCAAATATGTGGGTGGGGCATTAGGCAGGCAGGCTACATCAGAGCATCAGAGCATCAGAGCAGGGAAATCTTTTACATGCTTCTGATGTTAGAGCCTCCTTAGCTTTAGGGCTGGTGGAGGCTAGAGGTCTGATAAGTGTCCTGGCAAATTCTGAGGGTTGGACCTCATGGTCCTAAGGGATGTCAGGCCAGATACAGAAGACGAAAGTAAAGGGCTGTTCAAGGAACTACGGTAGCCCAAGGTCATTCTGGCTCTTGGCCTACAACATTTCATTTCTCCACAATCATGACATTCTACTTGGTCAAGGTCAAACAGTCTTCAGGACTTTTATAGAGAAGTGGCTTCTTCAGAGAACTTCAGCTGCACATCTGTGGTTTTTCTGAGACCGCGCAGAAGTGTTTGACTCTCCTGCTTCCTAGGGCTTCTCCTCTTGTGGTAGATATTCTTCAACAAGAATGTAAACGTGCCATTTGCTGAGTTCCTTTCCTCTGCCTGATCTTACCAGCTATGCACAGGCCACCTTTTGTTTTGGGGGTGGGCATTGCTGTTGTTTGTTGGGGTGCTGGGGAGCAAACCCAGAGCCTCACATATGCTAGGTAAGCACTCTACCACTCAGCCGCACCCCCAGCCCTTTTTATTTTTATGTTTTTATTTTGAGACAGAATCTCAATAAGTTTCTGAGGCTGGCCTTGAACTTGCCATCCTCCTGCCCCAGCCTCTGGAGTCAACAGGTCACTTTTGACAATCAAGTCTCTTTGAGGCTGGGGATTTGTCACAGGAGCATGAGGAGCAGCAGAGGATGAGACGTCAGTGCTGCCAAAGCAAGGGATGGTCTGTGGCCAGGAACACCTCCTGCCCCATCTTAATTCCTGGTGACCTCACAGTTCACTCCCAGCGAAGGCAGATCTCCCTTCAGGAGCCTGTGCTCTCTGAATCAGAACAGCCCAGGCTGCTGCTGCTGAGAAGCCCCGCCACCCTCCCACGCTGGGGTCCACCACGGAAGCCTGTCGGCCTCCACGTCTGCCCACGGCCCTGCGTACTGCTGTCTTAAACATGGTTGCCCCATAGCTGGTTGAGCTGGAGTGTCCCAGCTGTCCTGTGTCCATGTGTCACTTTGTGGCACAGCAGCATCCACATGGTTACACCACAGACTGGCCAGATGGGGGACCTGCGAGCGGCAGGGAGGGCCTGCTCCTTCATCCAAAGGTCTGGGCCGTGGGGGAAGCCGTGGGGGGCTGGGGGTGGCAAACGGATGGTGCTGTTATCCCCTGGGGCCTCTGCAGGCTCCAGGCTGGGGCCCCGGCTGGTGTGGCCCAGGACTGAGCACGGCTGGGAAGGCTGCCTGGAGACCCTGCACCAAGGCTCCCCAGGGCAGCTGGTTCCAAGAGGGGACATCTCCCGAGCGTGATCCACAGAGCAAAAGGGGCAGGAGACCCAGGAAAGAACAGGTCTCTGGTGGAGCCTCGGGAGCCAGGTAGAGTCCCGTGGCCACATTCTATACCTGCACTCCCCGCAGGAGAAAATATGTGCTCCTTTCAGACACAAAACATATGTACATACAGTTGTCCCTGGGCTTCTCCAGGGGAACCGCTCCCCACCCCAGGATACCAAGTGTCTCCTTGGTACTAAAATGTTACAGGAGGGGCTGGGCTTGTGGCTCAGAGGTAGAGCGCTCGCCTAGCATGCATGAGGCACTGGGTTCGATCCTCAGCACCACATAAATGTAAAATAAAGATATTGTGTCCACCTAAAACTAAAAAATAAATATAAAAAAATATGAGGCAGAAGTTTGAGGGGAACACACCTACACAGCCTCCTTAGGAGAATGTTGATAGAAAAAAATGGAGAAACACATCTGTGCCCGGTGCAGTGGTGCACGCCTGCATTCCCAGCAGCCTGGGAGGCTGAGGCAGGAGGATCACAAGCTCAAGGTCAGCCTCAGCAACTTAGTGAGGCCCTGTGCAACTTAGTGAGACCCTGGTTCGAAATACAAAAAGGGCTTTGAACGTGCTGCAGTGGTTAAGCAACCCTGGGTTCAATCCCAGGGACCAAAAGAGAGCATGCTGAGGAACAGGTCTGTCATCTGCTGGTTGGATGTGTCCCAGCCCACCCAGACACAGGGGGAGGGCACGTAAACCCCAACTCTTAATGGAAGGGGGGTCAAGGAAATTCCAGCCACAGTTTTCAGCTGCCACACGGAAGACTCTTAACCTAGCCCCTTTGCATCACATGTAAGATTACAGAGACCTGACGGTGTGACCACCTGGTCCCCAGTCACCAGGCAGGTAGCAGAGCAGGCTCGGCCCCTGAGTGCCAGGCAGGGGCTGGCCCCCACTTTGTCCATCCAGGCCCATCTGTGCACCTTGGAAGGTCAGTCCCCATGCCTGCTGGGGACACCATATGGCCCCAGGCATAAATATCTGGCTCTGAAATCTCCCTCCCTTGCTTGGAGGCCACAGAGCAGCTCCCATGACTTGTGTGGCTTCCAGACATGAAGACACGTCTGTTGTCTTTGGTCCCTGTATTTTTGTTGTTGTTGTTGTTAGCTGTGCACAGACACAATGTCTTTATTTTACTTATTTATTTTTATGTGGTGCTGAGGATGTAACTCAGTGCCTCACCCGTGCCAGGTAAGCGCTCTGCCACTGAGCCCCAGCCCAGCCCTGGTCACTGTATCTTGTAGTGGCGTTTCCAGCCTGAGCAGGTGTCACCGTGACGGTGGGAGAGGCTCTGTCCTTGGTTCTGATCGCGTCCTCTGAGGACTCCGCTGTCCCTGGGCTCCAGTTCACATCATATGTCTTCCACCCACTTTTGACAAAGGAGCAGAGACAATTCAATGAACGAAGGAAACTCTGTTCCACAAGTTCTGCTGCAGCCATGGAGGTCCACAGAGCTCAACAAGCCCCAAACAAAACAGATCTTCAACTGCACACCGTCAGGGGCGAGAGATCCAAAATGCACCACGGTTCATGAATTAAAATGCAAACCATAAAAACTATGAAACTTTAAAAAAAAACAAATAGGAATCAATACAGGGCACACGAAGAGGTTAGAAGAAAGCAAAGACGATCATTAAAGGGAAAAATGATCACATTGTACCTCATCACAATTAAATACCGTGACAGGGCCTGTGAGGAGGATGAAAAGAAGTCACAACAGGAAGAGCGCGCAAAATTCAAAACTCAACAGTTAAAAAAAAAAACACCTCAATTACATAACAGACATGAACAGACATTTCACCAAAGCGGAGGCACAGGTGAAAAACCAGCCTGCTACAAGGTGTTCAATGCCATGAGTTATAAGGGAAATTAAATCAAACCCTTGTTGGACGATCACCACACACCCATTAGAATAGCCAAAAATATTTTTAAAAATTAAAAAGCCAGCTGGGCATGATGGCCCACGCCTGTAATCCCAGCAACTTGAGAGGCTAAGGCAGAAGAATTGTGAGTCCAAAGCCAACCTCATCAACTTAACTAACTCAATGAGGCCCTGAGCAACTTAGGAGACCCTGTCACAAAATAAAAAATGAAAAGGGCTGGAGATGTTGCTCAGTGGTTAAGTACCCCTGCGTTCAATCCCTGGTGCCAAAAAAAAAAAAATTAAGAAAACCAAATGCTAGTAAAGATTCAAAGAAACTGGATCCTCAGACATTGCAGGTGGGAACATAAAATGGTACAGCCACTTTGGAAATAGTTTGGAAGTTTCTTATAAGACTAACCCTGCACTTACCATATGATGACGATTTCACTGTCATATACCCCAGGGAGATAAAAATGTGTATTCACACACACACACAAATTTATATGTGAACATTCACAACAGCTTTATTCATGATAGTAAAATCCAGGAAACAATCCAAACAGTCTTCAACAGGCAAGTCGTTAAACAAAGCTTGCTACATTCAAACAGTGGAAGACTACTCAGCAATGAAAAGGAATGGACGATAACTGCAACAACCAAGGATCTTAAGGGCTTAGTTTAAAACAAAAGTCGATCCTACCTACTGTCTACTTCCATTTATGTGACATACTCAAAATGACAACCAGAGATGGAGAAATAAAGGCAATGAAGACTGGATAAATAAAGGAAACCTAGAAGGAAGGCTGGGATGGAGGGGAGGAGGAGGGAGTGTTAAAGCCTAGGAAGCCACCATGCCTGTCCCCCAGTTCTGGCCACCTATCCACTCCTTCTGATCTCTGCCTGCTGACCCGCTGTCCTGGGCGTCCACGGTGACTCTGAACTGTAAGTTCCGTGGCCCCTTCTGGCCCTGCTCCCTGTGCCTCTCTAGCTGGGCTCTCCTTGAGACATGCATGGGCTTTGGCCTCTCTCCTTCGGCCTTGGTCAGTGTCTCCTCCTACCCCTGGTGGTGGCCGTGGGCTCTGTCCTTGGTCCTGAGACTTCCCCGCCCAGTTCACCTTCTCTGGGCTCCAGTGCTCTGGACACACGCCTTCCTCCCCAGCCCTCACACTCTACTGGCTCTCCTCTCTAGCTTCCTGCGAGACCCTCTGCCTGGTGACCCCGGTCACACACAGAAACGTGAGCTCTGCATCCCCAGGCCTGCTGCTGACCAGCCCACATCTGTCGACAACGCCCCTTCTTCTGGCCCTCAGGCTGGAGCCTGCCACGTTGGCTAAGTAAGCTCTCCTAGAGGACACCCACCATCTCCTCTTGTTCTGGCCAAGCCCACCCAACTGTTCTCAATAAAAGCTTAAGGGCGGGGGGTGCCGCTCAGTGGTCCACGAGGCCCTGGGTTCAATCCCAGCACCTCAAAAAATAAATAAATGAAAATAAAAACCTAGGCCAGAGTCAAGCCTCTGCCCCATGACATGCTCCACCTTAGCTCCAGGTCAGCTCACCTTGGACACAGCTCACCGTGAAAACCACAGGGGACAGCACCCTTCTGCGGACAGGTCTCCCAGGGGCCACGGTTACCATAATGGCTGCCTCTACCCTGTTTTCACTCATGCTGTCCTCTGGATGTGTCCCCTCTCTGGAAACTGGCATCACTAGTTCAGGGCAGGAGTGGCCTGGGGGGAGGGAGAGGACTGGCCCAGAGCAGGGAGTGAGAGGAGATGGTGACGCTGGGGCAGACAGTGGAATCCCCTCGCAAGCCACACGGGGAGCAACTGAGGCGTTCAGCCAGCGGCGCCTCCTCCTGGGCTCGGGTCCCCGGGTGGTAGAGTGCTCCTCACCTCCCAGCCTGCACCCTGCCTGTGAAAAGCTGCCCACCCCGGGGAAGGGACTGACTGCTGACAGGTGGTCTCAGGCAGATGGACTCTTGGTCAACACCGAGCAGAAGAGACCCCCAGGATCAGGAGTGGTGTTAGGGGAAGCCACCGCCTCCTCCTCCCATTGCTGCTCCAACCCAGTCCCATGGAGCCGCGCAGCCATGACCAGCCTAGGCAGATGTGCTGAGCCCTTGCTCCCTGCTCACAGGGACCCAGCGAGGCTTAAAGCCCAGGGAGACCCAAAAGCCCCAGAAGAGGGGAAGGAACCCTGAGTGTTCAGGAAAGTGGGGAGCTGCCTGAGCAGGACCCAGAGCCCTGGGTCGTCCCAGGAGAGGGGGTGGAGCCCTGTGAGCCCAAAGGCTCCTCAGGGAGCCTCCCATCTGTAGGAAGGAGGCGACTCTCCCCTGGGGAAACTGACCTCAGATGCTTTTGTGCACGAGCATGAAAATCCCAGAGAATTCTTGGCCTTGGGAAGTGGGCATGAGCCGGGAGGAGAAAAGAGGACCCCCAAAACAGGGGCCCAGGGGAGTTTCACTCCCTCTTCCATGCCGAGGACTCCAAAGAAGAGCCCTCTAAGACCCAGGCCCCTCCTTACAGAAGTCCCTACAGAAGCTGGTGACTGCTGCCTCCCCGCCCTGGAGTCCAGAGTCAAAAGTCCTTCTCGTACAGTCCGAAGGAGCTTCGTCCTTACGCAGGGCATTTCTGGGGTGGCGCACTGTAGAGGTTCCAAACAAGCAGTCTCTGTCCACCCCCAGGGGCCCTCTGAGGCCTGTTCACCCAGAGGACAGCACTGAGCATGCTCAGAAGCAGGGGCACCTTCAAGAAGACGAGAAGCAGGAAGTGGACACTGCTGAGCAGGGACCTGTGGGGGCCATGGGAACAAGACATGAGCCGCCTCCTGCAGAGGAAGCCCCAGGACCTTTCTCTCCCCACCTCTCCCTGTGCCCTGATTTTAGAGCCCAAATAATTCAGAACTCAACAGAGAACGGACCCAGGGAGCACCTCTGTGGCCCCTTCACCTCTCCTCAAGGGGGTCTCACGGAGGAGAGATGATGGAGAGGACAGAGAAGAGGCCCCGGGAGCTCAAGGGTCACCCTCTGTGTCCCTTCTGCATGCCAACTTCTTGAAACCAATCCTCACTCTCACTGCAAAGTCCTTGTCCCTTGTCCCTCCCTTCAGGGTCTGATGGCAGCAGCGCAGCCCTTCCCGGGGATCTCTGGGAGAAGAGGGAAAACAGACTGAAACTCCAGCCTGAAGCCGCCTGTCTCCCCAGACCCCAGAGGCAGCTCCTGGTGGCAAGAGGCCCAGCTGAGCAAAGACCTTTGGAAGGGGCTGCAGGTCCGGACCCTGAGGGGAAGGAGGGTTGGGAGGGACCAGGGGCTGTCCAGCCACCCAAGCCAGCCTCTGGCCTGTGTCTGCAGCCTCCCCCACTCAGCACTCAAAGGCAGCCTCAGAGAATGTGAGCGCTGAGACCAGAGTTGGAGGAAAGACAGTGGCAGTGAGGATGGCTGGACAGGGCATGACTCCCGTCTGGTCCCCACCCCCGAGCCCAGGGCTGCTGGCTCCCTTCCCCTGCCTCCAGGGCTGGGGCCTTACCAGGAGTGGGGGGCCAGCACGTCCTCGATGCTGTCGTTCTGCCCACTGCTCACTCTCAGCAAAGCAGACGTGATGGGCGCTGTGGTCACCCAGGGGGTGGGAGTGGCTGCCGGAGACAAAGTCACACATCAGGCACTGCTCTGTCCCCAGCCTGCGCTAAGCCCCTGGTTAGATCTGATACTGCACAGAACCAGCCACTCAGAGGAGATCAAGAGGTTCCCTGAAGCCAAACCCAGGCCCCCTCCTGGGTGGAGCCCCTCGGGGACCAAAGGAGCCCCTTAGCAGACCTGGCCAGAGAGTCACCTCTAATGAGTGCCAGGTCTTCCCATCCTGGTCTGACCTGCCAGGAGGAGGCAGGGGTCTCTCACGGTCCACCCAGCTTGACGAGAAGGAGTGTGGAGGAAGGCGGCTCAGCCTGTGGCTGAAGGTGAGCCACCTCTCTCCCTGCCCACACCCAGGCTCCTCCCAACACCCCTGAGGCTCAGGACAAGGCAGGACTCAGAGACACTCTTCACCGTAGCACCCGCCCTTGTGCCCACAGCTCCATTGCTGGAGCCAGGGAGTGCTCACCTGGGCTAACATACACCTGGACTTGGAAGGAGGGGTCACGCGAAAATATATCCAGGATCCATATTGTCTGAATTTTGCACCAATATGATCCAGCATCGTCTTCACTGAGGTTCTCTATGGTCACTGTTATGGTGAGGTCATCAGCAGAGTCTCTGATGGACACGCGGCCATACCTCTCTACTTTCTCTCCTCCTTTGGTCTCCACAATACTGTGACAATCGGTGTCATGTTGTCCTCTGCACCAGTATTTGCTATATCCCTTGTATGCCCGCTCATAGTGACACTGCAGGCTCAGAGAGCTTCCCACGGTGCCGGTCACAGAGTCAGGGCCCCACAGAGACAAACAGCCTGGAAGACACAAGCCCAGAGTCTCAGGTCTCCATCCAGGTGGGCCTGTCAGCTGTCTGCCCAAAGCTGGGGGCGAGAGTTCCTGGAGAGGTGTGAAAGGTTCCTGGAAGAAGGACCTGGAGGGACACTGGGCAGCCAAAGGGTCCAGAGACTGAGGCCAGGAAGCCTGTCCCCTGTGAGAGCAGCACACTGAGTGACCAAGTGGACCCTGCTCATGGGGACTAAAGCTGAAGGTGAGAACAGAGAGAACAAACGTCTGGCCCCATCCCTTGTCCTGCAGACTGTATCAGGCATGAGATTTGGTCTTCCGCCTCTGTATTCTAGAATCTTCTGCAACTCAAACCTATTCTTTCAAAGTATAGCCCCTGAGGGTGACTCAGGATGGTGGATTAGAGGGGGGCTGCATCCCTAGTGAGTCCACGGCTCAGCAGTCAAGCAGCCGGAGTCCTGTTCCTCAGCAAGGTGGAATTTCACTCAGATTCAACTGGAGAATCAGAGTGTCTTAGAGACTCAGAAATGTGGGTACATTAAACAAAGAAGAAAGGATACTTTGAAGCTGAGCCAGCTGTGGCAGCAGAGGAGGGGACAGGGCTGTTTCAGCTGAGAGGAGGGACAATCCAGAGAGAAACAGATTTGGTATAGAAATCCTGAAGTCAGAAAAATAATCGGATCTCAGCTGATCCAGAGGCTACAATGTGCTCTGGTGCTTTGAAAAGTGCTCTCTGATTGGGTTATTTGTTTTGTTTTGTTTTGTTTCCGTGCTTAGCTTTTGAGTTCTTTATATACCCTAGAGATTAGTGCTTTATGTGATGTGTGAAGGGTAAAGATTTGCTCCCAGGATGTAGGCTCTCTGTTCATCTCACAGATTGTTTATTTTGCTGAGAAGAAACTTTTTAGTTTGATTCCATCCCATTTATTGATTCTTGGTTTCAATTCTTGTGCTATAGAAGTCTTTTTAAGGAAGTTGGGGCCTAATCCCACATGATGGAGATTAGGGCCTACTTTTTTTTTCTATTAGACGCAGGGTCTCTGGTTTAATTCCTAGGTCCTTGACCCATTTTGAGTTAAGTTTTGTGAGAGGACTTGGAATGATGTGTTCCAAGTCCTGAAAGAAAATAAGTGTCAACCAAGACTGCTATATCTATTAAAGTTACACTTCAAAATTTAGGGGAAAATTAAAAACCTTCCAAGACAAGCAGTAACTTAGATAATTCATGACATGTAAACAGAACTTACTTAACGAAATACCATAGATAGAAGATATAAAAAACAAACCCCAGAGCTCATAAATGAACAAATTTCATTTAAAGAGCAGCTAAGCAAATGAGAAACAGGACCAAAGTAAACATTATAAATAAATCCAAATGGCAGGGATGAGTAACCATCTCTGCAAAAACACTGAAAGTAAATGATCAACTCTCCCACTGTAAGACAAGCGCTGGCAGAATGGACTAAAAATCAAGACCCAACTATATGTTGTTTACAAGAGATGCACCTTACAGGCAAAGACAGCCACAGACTGAAAATGAAAGTGAAAATGGAAATTGATATATGCTGTCAATTGAACCCCAAAACAAGGAGGAGTAGCTACTCTCATATATATCAAGGCAGACTTCAAACCAAAATTAATCAGAAGAGATAAGGTCACTTCCTATTGGCAGGGAAAAAATCCAACAAGAAATAATATAACAATAATAAATACTTATGCCCTGAATGTGGGTACAATTAATTACATAAAGGAGACACTACTCAAATTAAAGTCTCAGACCCCAATACTACACTACTGGGTGATTTCAACACACTTCTCTGATCATTAGATAGGCCATCCAGATAAAAACTCAGTAAAACTCTTTGTACCTGAAAAATATTATAATCAATGGACTTATCAGACATATATAGAATATTTCATCCAAAAACAGCTGAATTCACTTTCTTCTCAGTGGCTTATAGAACCCTCTCCAAAACAGGCCATAAAGCAACTCTTAGCAAATACAAAAAAAAAAATCAATATAATTCCTTGCATCTTATCAGATCATAATGGAATGAAATTAGAAATCAACATGGCAAAACTCTACAGAAACTGTGTAATATATTACATAGTTTATATGTAATTTTGTAAGATTGAACAATACACTTTTTGAATGATGAATGATGATAGGAGAAATCAAGGGAGAAATTTTTTTAAAAATCTTCTTAAAATTTTTTTAAACATTTATTTTTTAGTTGTAGTTGGATACAATACCTTTATTTCACTTATTTATTTTTAGGTGGTGCTGAGGATCTAACCCAGGGCCTCACACGTGCGAGGTTAGTACTCTACTGCCGAGCCACAACCCCAGCCCGAAATTTAAAAATTCTTAGACTCAAATGGGAATAGTGATACAACATATCAGAACCCTTGGGACACTATGAAAGCAGTTCTAAGAGGAAAGTTTATAGCTGAGTGCCTACGTAAGAAAATCAGAAAGAACCCAAATAAACACCCTAATGATGAATCTCAAGGCCCTTGGAAAAGAAGAACAAATCAATTCTGAAGCCAGTAGAAGAATGGAGGTGATTAAAATCAGAGCTGAAATCAATAAAAATGAGAATTAAAAAACCATACAAAGGATCGATTAAACAATGAGCTGGTTGGTTCTTTGAAAAAATAAGCAAGATTCATAAGCCTTTAGCCAAATTAACCAAAAGAAAAAGAGAAAAAAACACAAATTAATAAAACCAGAGATGAAAAAAGAGAAATCACCACAGTCATCACAGAAATCCAGCAGATCATTAGGGACCAATTTGAAAATTTATTCTCCAATATAATCTGGAAAACCTAGAAGAAATGGACACATTTCTAAGCAAATGCTATCTGCAAATCTGAAATCAAGAGGACAGAGAAAACCTTAACAGAACGATAACTAGCATTGAAATAAAAGCAGTAATAAAAAGCCTTCAACAAAGAAAAGCCCAGCACCAGATGGATTCTCAGCTGAATTCTACCAAATCTTGAAGAAGAACTAATGCCAATACTCCTCAAATTATTCCATGAAATAGAAAAAGAATGAAACACTTCCAAATTCATTCTACGAAGCCAGTATAACACTCATACCAAAACCAGATAAGGACTCATCACAGAAAGAAAACTGTGGACCAATATCCCCAGCAAACTCAGATGCAAAAATACTTGATAAAATATTAGCAAATTATATTCAACAGAATATGAATAAGATTGCACACCATGACCAAGTGGGTTTTATTTCAGAGATGCAAGGATGGTTTAATATATGCAAATCAATAAATGTAATCCATCACATAAATAGAATTAAGGATAAAAATCATTTAGTCATCAACAGATGCAGAGCAAGCCTTTGACAAAATTCAGCCCCCATTCATGATCAAAACACTGAAGAGACTAGGGATAGAAGGAACCTACCTCACTATTATAAAGGCTCTGTACGAAAAACCCAAAGCTGACCTCATAGTAAATGGAGAAAAACTGAGAGCATTCCTTTTAAAATCTGAGAAAAGACAAGGATGTCCTTCCTCACCACTCCCTATATAATATAGAGCTAGAGCAATAATACAGAGCAATTAGGAAACAGAAGGAAATAAAAGGGATAAAAATAGGAAAGGAAGAAGTCAAATTATCAATCTTTGCAGATGATACAATCCTATACATAGAAGAGCCAAAAAAAAAAAAAAAAAACCTCCACCAAAAGACTGTTAGAGCTAATAAACAAATTTGGCAAAGGAGCAGGTTACAAATCAATATACAAAAAAAAATCATTAGCTTTCCTATACGCCAACAGGATAACAATTTAATTCACAACAAAAAAATAAAATACTTAGGAATAAGTCCAACCAATGGGATGAAAGACCTCTACAATGAAAACAATAAAATATTTTTTTTAATTTTTTATTGTTGGCTGTTCAAAACATTACATAGTAATAAAATATTTTTAATGATTTTTTTAAAGAGAGAGTGAGAGTGAGAGATATTTTTTTTAATATTTATTTTTTAGTTTTCGGCAGTCACAACATCTTTGTTTGTATGTGGTGCTGAGGATCGAACCCCGGGCCGCACGCATGCCAGGCGAGTGCGCTACTGCTTGAGCCACATCCCCAGCCCGAAAACAATAAAATATTTAATAGGAAAATTGCAGAAGACCTGAGAATATGGGAAAACCTCCCATGTTGATGGATAGGCAGAGCTGATATCACTTTAAATGGTCATACTACCAAAAACAGTTGACAGATTCAATGCAATCCCCACCAAACATCAATGACATTCTTCAGAGAACTAGAAAAAAACAGTCCTAAAAATCAATTTGGAAGAATAAAAGATCCAGAATAGCCAAAATAATTCTAAGACAAAAAAGGCAATCCTGGAGGGATCACAAGAGCTGACTTAACTGAGCTGTGGTAACAAAAACCTGCAGAGTCCTGGCCTAAAACAGATCCACAGGCCAAGAGTGAAGGACAGAAGACACAGAGACAACCCCACACCTCTACAGTCATACAATCCTTGGCAAAGACGCCAAAAACACACTGGAGAAGAGGTAGCCCTTTGATCAGATGGTGCTGGGAAAACTGGTTATCCACATGTCCCTGCACGAAAATTAACTCAAAATGAATCAAAGATCGAAATTATGCAACTCCTAGAAGAAAACAGGGCCAACACTCCAGTTTTCAGGCACAGGAAACAACTTTCTCACTAGGACCCCTAAAGCTCAGGAAATTATGTCAAGAATTAATAAATGGGATAGGATCAAATTAAAAAGTTTCTGCACAGAAAAAAAAAAGCAATTAGGAATTTGAAAAGAGGACCTATAGAGTGGGAGAAAATCTTGTTAGCTACTCTCTGACAGATAACTAATATCTAGAATATGTAAAGAGCTCAAAAACCTTTACACCGAAAAAATCAAATTAATAAATGGGCAAAGGCATTAAACAACACTTCTCTAAAGAAGAAATGCAAATGGTCAAGAAATATATATTAAATATCATTAAAATATTAAATATATATTAAATATCATTAGCAACTAGGGAAATGCAATTCAAAACTACACTGAGATTTCATCTCACTCCAGGGAGAACGACAGTCACCAAGAATATAAATGGTAATAAACCTGGAGAGGCTGTGGAGAGAAAGAAACACAGCTATATCCCTCCTCAGAATTTATCCTGAGGAACTGAAGTCATCTTACTGCAGGGATACACGTATACCACGTTTAGAGCAGCATAATTCACAATAGTGGAACCAGCCTAGGTGTCCACCAGTGGATGAATGGATAAAGAGAATGTGGTGTATACACACAGTGGAGTTTTATCCAGCCATAAAGAAAAATGAAAATATGGCATTTGTCAGTAAATGGATGGAACTGGAGACCATTATGTTAAGTGAAATAAGTCAAAGATCGTATGCTTTCTCTCATGTGCGGGAGCCAGAGAGGAAAAAGGAAAAGAAAAGGTGGGGTGGAGCTCATGAAATCAAAGGAGTGACCAGTAGAGAAAAGGCACCGTGGGGTGGGAGGAAGGGAGGGAGGGGGAAGTGTGGGGTAAATACTGGCCAAATCACATTGTTACACTGTGTATTCTGTGCATGTATGAATATACAACAACAAATCCCATCATCACATGTGGGTATAATGTACCAATAAAAAATGTTGTGAAAAGTACATAGAACATCAACATGCTGGGCTTAGTCTATTAAGCAGTGAGTATTAAATGATTATCCAACTGCACTCATACATAATAGTAATACAGATAGAAACTAAGAACTCATTTCTAATTTGATCTCCCACCATTTCTCATTTGACCTATGGGGTCAGTCGTAAGAGGGCTATTTCATTATGTAAATACAGAAATATCAAATATAAAATAAGAAAAAGCAAAATCATCTTTATTTAAAATTTTACTTCAAAAATAATCAAAGTGCAACTTCTGGTTTCCTCTGCCCTTCATGAGTCCTTGAGGAAGGAATAATAAACCTCTGGTTATAATCCTAACTGCTCTCCAGGAAGAACCAACGTGTGGGAAGAAGGGCTGGGTCCAGAGGAGGCCCTGATAGGTTTCTTTACACTGAGTTGGGGCATGGGCATCTCCACCCATCACAATCCTTGGCACCTGGGTGTCAGCTGTCACCATGCATTCAGGGGAACGAGGGACGCTGCCCTCTGTAACCAGTGGGATGGTTTGGGACCTGGAAGGAAAGCAGGGATTTGAATCTGGGATGCAAAATGTGAGATGCGGATGTGGAAGGAATGATAGAGGAGGAGCGGCTGCCGGGGGTCGGAGGGCTGTGAGCCCGGGAGGGGAGGCTCAGCCGAGCTCCACCACATGAGCAAGCTCAGAAACAGCGGGATCCTGGTCTGAAGTTGAGTATGTGTGAGCGCACACATGGTATGCCTGTATGTGTGCACGTGTGTGTGTGTGTGTGTGTGTGTGTGTGAAAGAGAGGGAGAGAGAGAGAGACAGAGAGAAAGAAACAGGAGTTAAGCTGTGCGTCCACAGTTACCACCTTCCTTTTTGCTCCCTGAGCCAAAGCAAAGTGGCTCCTGGCCCCCCACCTTCTAAGCACCCACCATCTCTCTGCGGTCCTAATATGAGTGAGAACCTTGTGCGCCCTGGACCCTGCATTATGGGGAAATTCTCACTTCCAAAGCACTGCTCCACACCCATGTTGTCCCCCAAGGACTCCACTGCCACCTGCCCCCCAAGACTGGAGGACCAGTGAACCCCCACCTGGCACCAGTGCCTTCCTAGAGGCAGTTTATTCCCAGCATGCCTCCTTCCAGCCCCAGACAGAGCTCAGCATCACACTTCCCCACAGTGGGAATCTACCAAGGGGCAAATCATATGTCACAGCCATCGCATGTGCAGCTTCTGAAAGAAGTCTGCCTGGAGAGCTTGGGGTCCTCCTATCCAGGCTCACAGCCAGCCCCTTCAGAGTCAATTACATCCTGAGTCTCCAGTCTCTCCAATCAAGAAGATTCCAGAAGCAGATGAGCAGCCAGACCAAAGAGAAGCTTCCAGGCTCCTTCTGGCTTGAAAAATCTTGAATTCCATAAAATGTCACATACGTAAGAGCTGACAGGGACCCTCTGCTCCTGGGAAGAGGCTTCCTTCTCTTCCACTTCCCTGCTTACAAGTCTCTCTCTCTCTCTCTCTCTCTCTCTCTCTCTCTCTCTCTCTCTCTCACACACACACACACACACACACACACACACACAGTCCACTCACCTGGGAGGCAGAGGAGGAGCAGAGCTGGGGACAGCCACATGGCCCTGTCTCCCTGGCTGTTGTCCCCAGCAAATCTGGGTCCTCTCTAGAATCCAGATACGTGAACAGCCCAGGGCACCACCCCTGCTCTTCCAATTCCCTTTGTGCTTCTCCTTCTCGCCTACTTCCTTTTTAATCTCCCAGCTTCTTGCTAATTTGATAAAAGGGGAAGAGGGCCAAGGGGCACTTCAGGGAATGAACCAAGGACAGAGAGGGGAATCTGCTGCGCTGTCCTTCACGTAGGGAGCCTCCCAGAAAGTCGACTGCAATCCGTGAACCTCCGACCCAGGAGACCCTGTCTCCCTGCAGAGTGCTTGCCTCACATGTGTGAGGCGCTGGGTTGGATCCTCAGCACCACATAAAAATGGATAAATAAAATAAAGATATTATGTCCATCTACAACTGAAATAAAAAAAAAAAAGATACTCTTAGGGCTGGGGATGTGGCTCAAGCTGTAGCGCGCTCACCTGTCATGCGCACAGCGATGGGTTCAATCCTCAGAACCACATACAAATGTCGTGTCCACCGAAAACTAAAAAATAAATATTAAGAAAATTTTCTCTCTCTCTCTCTCTCTCTCTTTAAAAAAAAGATACTCTTAAATTGGCCAATTCATGGAGATTTCTGCCAAGAATAGGGAAAAGGTCCCATCTCCCAAGGACATAAACTGGAGGACCTTGTCCCTCCAAGTGCCCCTGTCTGCAGGAAGGAGTCTGTGGGTTCATGGGATTTACCAATTTTTCTTTTAGGGTTTTAGCATTTTTCTTTTTATTCATATAACTGTTTATGTTTGGGGCATTTCTGTTTTCAGTTTTTGCAATTCCACTTGGGTTTTTTTACAATCTAATGATTTTGATCTTGAACTCTTTGACTTGGATTTCAAGGTCTGAGAGCACCACAGAAATATCTTGGAGACTGCTATCAACAAGGACAGATTTACCAGCAGAGCTGCTCCTCGCCTTCTCAGAGAAGTCCCGATGGTTCTGTGTGGGGACAAGTGCGTGGAGTACTGCATACATGGCATACGTTAAGGGCATCTGAGTGGCAGGCCACACCCCTCGTGCTAGGCACATGAGCTGCAAACCGCTTACCCCATAGGCACAGCCCTGGGCATGGGGCCATGTGTTGCAGTCCCTGCACTTGCTCCATGGCCCACTCCTCGAGTGGTCGCTGCAAGGACAGTTAGCCAGAAATTGTATTGGTGGCTGCCAGTACTCTGCCGAGCTACTGCCCGAGTGTATGTACATGGTAACTGCACAATAAAATCAGACCTGCTTCCTGCTTGGTCTTCGGAGGTCTTGATTAGTGACTCCGCAGCCACACTCTCCTCTACCCTGTTCTGTGGTCCTCCTCGCAGGTTGGGAGAGAGCCCACAAAAAAAGGAAAAAAATGAAAAACAAAAACTACAACAATAACAAAAATCTCCCCTCAGGGCTATACATCTTGACCCCTCTTGTCTGTACATCTGCCCCTCTCCAAGCCACCACCATCGCACCCCAAATGACTGCAGAGCCTCCTGACTCATTCCCAGTTTCTCTGTGTCCATGTCCAACCTGTCCTTCTCACAGGGAGGGGTTACTTTAACATGTAAACCACAGCACACACTGCCCGGAACCTTCCAGTGTTAGCCAGTGCGCCAGTTGAGAATTCAGACTCTCCTCTAGTCTCATCGGTCTCCCTGTCCCACCTGGGGGACTTGGGAGCTGCGGTTGGCTGAACTAAGATAAGCCTCGGTTCCTACCTCCCTTGGCTCTCTCTCTACACTGTACTTTGTTACCCCATCACATCAAAATTTGGGGAACACAGCAGCTCAGAAAAAGAAGAATCTGGAGACAAGAAAACTGCTAATAATCACAGAAACTGTGGCTTTGACTCTCATAATAATTAGCATGAGAAGGCACTCAGTTTCTAAGGAGAGGCCCCAAACTTCCTAAAACCGACTAACAGCATGTTTTTTATCGCTGTGTTCTCAAATGTGGCAGGCACGCAGAGTATCCGGAGGCAGGGTGGGAGGCTGGACATTCACCCTGCCCCCCTAAAATGCCGTTATGGGCTGTACCACATTTTTATTAATTATCTGGTCATTTAATGACTGTCGACTTGCAGGCACAGTGGATGCAAAGATAAGCAAGAAATGGCAGAGCCACAGGGTCCCAGTGAGGCAGAATAAGAGAGGCCTGATTCCCAACTATGTTTTTTGTCTTTAATGAGAAGCTAGTTTAGCTCTTTTTGTGCCACCCGCTTCCTTTAAATCTTGCAAAGAGCCTTCCCCACAGCCGCTTCTGAGTGAGCAGAATTCCGGGCTCTAAGCATCGTACCTGGGGTGGTGAGAGCGAACCCTCCACTGTCAATTGTGCCAGCTGAGCGCAAAGCGACCCAATGCACATGAGCAGATCAGTGCGCTGGGCGCAGACCCTGTTGCGGAGAACAAAAATCCTGAACCATGAGCAGCAGCCGCCAATGCACCTGGGCAGACCCCCGCCAAACTACACAGATCTCCCTGACGCCTCTCCAAAAGCTGGTCTGGAACCCTGTCCCACATGCCATTTCTCTTGTGCCAGAGCACAAGCCCCCATAAAGCCTGGTTCCTTTGGTGCCGATCCCCTCTTGGTGACTTCTACTCCAAAGGAAGCAGAAGAACCCTGGGCTGATACAGCACCAGTGGCGGGCAGATGGCACACTTGGGTGGCATAATTGGGGGTGACTCAATGAAGGGAAGATTCGCAAAGGCAAAGGGGGAGTTAAGGGAAACCAACAAAGATGAACATAAAACCTGCAACTAGAAATACCAGGGAGCCCTCACCACCTCTGAGTCTCAGGCAGAAAGAGGAGGGGGCAGTAGTCAGAACCCAGCAGGGGCTGAGGGAGAGGGCCACCCAGCAGGGACCACAGCCCTCTGTGGATGGACAGAACTGCCAACCCAGCAGAGGGGCGCCTGGGCAACAGGAGCTGCCACCTGTCTTCCTTCCTGTCACCATCGCCTGCAGGTGCTTCCCATTAGCAGAAGCCAGAGTGAGGTTGTTTGTGTCCCCTGTTCAATAAGACAAAACCCACCCAGAGAAGGCAGCATGTCTGATCCCTCTTCCTATACCCAGCCCTGAATACAGTGACTGGCTCCTAACAGGTGCTCAGAAAAGTGTGCTGAGTGAGTTGGTGAATGAACGAGTGTCCATGCACCCGGCAACCAGAGGCAGGGCTTAGCAGTCAGCCGATAGTGACCTTCCAAACCTCATGACATAGCATGATGACCCCAGGCACGCCCTGGAATGAGGTTGGGACACAAATCACAATATAGAACTAGGTTACCTTGGGGCTGTGTCTCAACAGTAGTGCACATGTCTGGTTCAATTCTCAGCACCACATGTAAATAAATAAAATAAAGGTTTAACAACAACTAAATATATATATATATATATATATATATATATATATATATATATATATATATATTTTATATGTATATAAAAGAAATCGGTTACCTTGACATTAGTCATGGGGCCACCACTTCCTTCAAAAGGTTGAGGTGCCCACTCCACTGTCCGGAGCTGGGGCACAGACAAGTTCAGTCCTGTCTAATTAACTAGGGCTCTAGCCACCTCCAGGGGTCCACTTACATTTGGGAAAAGGATCTAGAGACCAAGAAGAGGTGGTAGAGAGGCGCCCAGAGATCAAAGTCCTTCTCCTTGACCCTGGGTTTGGACTGAGCTAAAGTAGAGATGGCCATAGGCATCAGGAGACAAAAATGTCCTTGCCCACTCTCTGTGAGCTACAGAGGTACAGGCAGCACAGCTTTAGGGTCTAGTGGTAGAGGTGAGTCCCAGAAGGGAGGAAGGACAGAGGACAGTCCTCTGTGCCCAGGGCCAGCAGAGCTGGGCTCTCTTGGGCACCTCTACATTGACGTTTGAAGCCTGCCACCAGCCACACCATTACATTCACTCAGCCGGCTTCAAGGACAGTGGCCATCAGCAAAACAGGCCTGAGCAGGAGCAGAACATGACAAGGCCTGGTGGTCACTCGCCCTGAGACACTCCCTGGGCATGCCGGGAGGACTGAGTGAGACGTTGACGGGGATGGGAGTCCGGTGCCAAGGATGGAAGCTGGGCGGGGGTCTCACTGCCATCGGTCCCCAGAGGCTGGTGCAGGCCAGGGGAGAAGCAAGGTCAAGAGAAATGAGTAAAACCTGCAGCCTTCCCGGAGCAAGCATTGCTGCTGCTTCTGCAGACTGGTCCCGAGGGCCACACCCCGCTTGCGTGCGGATCTGCAGCCTCCACAGATGCAGGAAACGGGAGACCCAGTGCCAGGCGTCGTCCCTGACCACTTCTCTCTAGGCCTTCAGCTTTGGGATCCAGCAGCAGCATGACTCATCTGTCCCCTCATGGACTGAGTACTCCTTCAAGGCCTGCCTTGCTCTGGGTGCTGGTCTCTGGGACTTGGGAGTGACCGAGACAGACTTGGTTCCTGCTCTCGTGAGCTTATCCCACAGACAGTTGTGAGCAATCTTACATGAGACCCAGAGGCGGGAGCAGGAAAACAAAGGGGACGAATCATCGGTACACAAGTGATGGCAAAGGCAGAGAGGCAGACAGGACTGCGACCCAGAGAGCCACCGGCTCAGGTCAGGGTCTAGACCTCGAACCCTGGGGAGGTAAGCAGAAACCTTTTCCAGTTTGGTCCAACAGAGTCCTTGTCCCTCATCACAGTGCACAGACGGAGATGAGTCAGAGCCTCTGATGACCCTCTCCAGCCTGTCAGAGAAGGACTCAGTGCTGAGGGTCGAGGATTTGGCTCCTCCAAATAACTAGCAGACAGAGGTCCTTGCCCATCCCCCCATGGCAGCCTGTCTGAGGCTGGTTTACCCAGATCACAACAGAACCGGCTTGAGCTGGGCACTCTCAGGAGGACCAGGAGCAGGGAGGACAGGTGGTGACCTGCAGGAGGCCAATGACTTTCTTGCTCATTTGCTCCTCGTTTCTCTCAGCGCCTCTAGTGATGCAACCAGGTAATGTCCACCTTACTG